GCAGAGCAAGAGAGAGAGAGAGAGCACGAGCGGGGGTGGGGGAGGAGCAGAAGCAGGCTCCCCACTGAGCAGGGAGCCTGATGCGGGGCTTGATCCCAGGGTCCTGACCTCAGCCAAAGGCTGACGCTAACCAACCAAGCCACCTAGGCGCCCCATGAAGGCAGATGCTTAATGACTGAGCCACCCAGGTGCTCCTTATTTATTAGTTCTAATAGTGTTTTGGTGGAGTCTTTAGGATTTTCTATATATAGTATTAGGTTATCTGCAAATAACCTAATTTATTAGTAAACGTTTTACTTCTTCCTTACCAATTTGAATTCCCTTAATTTCTTCTTCCTGTCTGATGCTGAAGCTAAGACTTCCTATACTATTCCTATTTGATAAAAGTGGCAAAGTTGGACATCCTTGTCTTGTTCCTGATCTTAGGGAAGAAGTTTTCAGTTTTTCACCATTGAGTATGTAGTTAGCAGTGGATTGGTCATATATGGTTTTTATTTTGTTGTGATATATTCCGTCTATACCCACTTTGTTGAGTTTTCATCACAAATGATTTTGAATTTAGTCAAATGTTTTTTCTTCATCTATTGAAATGATCCTATGATATTTATTCTTTATTTTGTTAATGTGATATATCACATTGATCAATTTACGTATATTGAGCCATCCTTGCATTCCTAGAATAAATTCCACTTAATCATGGTATATTATCCTTTTAATAATATTGTTGAATTAGAAAAATAATATTGTTGAATTCAGTTTGTTCATATTTTGTTGAGGATTTTTTGCATCTATGTTCATCAGGGATTTTGGCCTGTAATTTTCCTTTTTTGTAGTGTCTTTGGTTTTGGTATGAGGGTAATGATGGCATTGTAGAATGAATTTGGAAGCACTCCTTCCTTTTCAATTTTTTTGAATAGCTTGAGAAAAATAGGTATTAACTATAATTTAAATGTTTAGTAGAATGCACCTGTGAAGCTTTCTGGCTCTGGATTTTTTTTTTTTTTTTAAGATTTTATTTATTTATTTGACAGAGAGACACAGCAAGAGAGGGAACATAAGCAGGGGGAGTGGGAGAGGGAGAAGCGGGCTCCCCACCGAGCAGGGAGCCCAAGGCGGGGCTTGACCCCAGGACCCTGGAACCACGACCCGGGCCGAAGGCAGACGCCCAACCATCCGAGCCACCCAGGTGCCCCCTGGCTCTGGATTTTTATTAGTTTTTTTTTTTTTTAATTACTGATTCCACTTCATTATCAGTAATCAGTCTGTTTAGATTTTCTATTTCTTCCTGATTCAGTCCTGGCATATTGTATATTTCCAGGGATTTATCCATTTCTTCTAGGTTGTCCAGTTTGTTGGTGTATAATTTCTTATAATTGTCACTTATAATCCTTTGTATTTCTGTGGTGTCAGTTTTAACTTCTCCTTTTCATTTCTGATTTTATTTATTTATAACCTCTTTTTTTCTTGATGAGTTTAGCTAAAGTTTTATCAATTTTGCTTATCTTTTCAAAGAACCAGATCTTAAGTTTATTGATCTTTACTATTTTTTTAAGTCTCTATAGCATTTATTTCTACTCTGATCTTTATTATTTCGTTCCTTCTATGGAGTTTGTTTGCTTTTCTTTTTCGAGTTCCTTTAAGTAAAAGCTTAAATTGGGATTTCTCTTGTTTCTGGATGTTCTTGTTCCCTCTTAGAACCACTTTTGCTGTGTCCCATAGATTCTGGAATGTCGTATTTCCATTTTCACTCGTCTCCAGGTATATTTTTTATTTCCTCTTTGATTTATTCATTGACCCACTGGTTGTTTAGTAGCATGTTGTTTAGCCTCCACGTCTTTATGGATTTTTCTCTCCAGGTTTTTTCTTGTAGTTGATTTCTAATTTCATACCATTGTGGTCAGAAAAGAAGCTTGATATGATTTCAATCTTCTTAAATTTATCAAGACTTGTTTCGTGGTCTAACATGTGATCTATCCTGGAGAATGTTCCATGTGGACTTAAGAAAAATGTGTATTCTGCTGTTTTTGCGTGGAATGTTCTGTGTATATCCATTAAGTCCATCTGGTCTAACATGTTGTTTAAAACTGATATTTCCTTATTGATTTTCTATCTAGATGATATATCCACTGATGTAAGGAAGGTGTTAATAACCCCTACTATTATTATGTTGCTGTCAATTTCTCCCTTTTGGTATGTTAATATTTACTTTGTATATTTTTGTCCTCCTGTGTTAGGTACAAATATATTTATATATGTTATATCTTCTTGTTGTGTTGACCCTTTTATCATTATGTAGTGCCCCTATTTGTTTTTTATTATAGTCTTTGTTTTAAAGTTTGTTTAGTCTGATAGGAATATAGCTACAATAGCTTCCTTTCATCACTATTTGCATGGAATACTTTCTTCATCTCTTCACTTTTAATCTGTGTGTGTCAGTACTTCTGAAATGAGTCTCTAATAGGCAGTATACAGATGTTTCTTGCTTTTTATCCATTCAGCAACTCTTTGTCTTTTGACTGGCAAATTTAGTCCATTTAAAATAATTATTGATATGTATGTCTTATTGTTATTTTGTTGTTTTCTGGCTGCTTTTGTAGTTCCTCTCTGTTTCTTCTTTCTTCTCTTTCTCTCATCCCTTGATGACTTTCTTTAGTGTTATGTTTAGATATTTTTCTCATTTTCTTTTGTGTGTTTTTTATTTTTATTTATTTTTTTAGAAGATTTTATTTATTTATTTGGCAGAGAGAGAATGCGCAAGCAGGGGAAGTGGCAGAAGGAGAGGGAGAAGCAGGCTCTCCACTGAGCAGGAAGCCTAACTCAGGGCTCGATCCTAGAATCCTGGGATCATGACGTGAGCTGAAGGCAGATGCTTAACTGAGCCACCCAGGTGCCCCCTTTTGTGTGTTTAATATAAATTTTTGCTTTGTGGCTTGCAAAGTTCACATATATCATCCTATGTATGTGAGTCAGTTTTAAGTTGATAGTAACTGAAATTTGAATACATTCCAAAACTTTACATTTGTATTCCCCTACCAACATTTTGGTTTTGATGTCACTTTTTACATCTTTTTGATATATCCCTTAACTAATTATTACAGTTTTAGTTAACTTTGTTGCTTTTTTCTTTTAACCTTCATAGTACCTTTTTAAGTGATTAATCTACCTTTGCTATATATTATATAACATATGTATTACCTTTTCCAATGAGGTTTCCTACTTTCACGGTTCTTGTTATTTATTGGTGCTATTACTTTTCAGCCTTAAAGAAGTTCCCTTAACATTTCTTTTTTTCTTTTTTAAGATTCACTTATTTTAGAGAGAGCCTGAGAGCATTTTTTGGGGCAAGCAGAGGAGCAGAGGCAGAGGGAGAAAGAGAGAATCTCAATCAGACTTCCTGCTGAGCATGGAGCCCGAGACAGGACACAATCTCATAACCCTGAGGTCATGACCTAGCCAAAATCAAGAGTCATTTGGAACATATTTCTCTGTTTTCTCATTTTTGTTTGACTCTCTTTTTGTTTTTATGTATTACATGAAACAGACAACTCTCTTTGTCTTGAAGGAATGGCCTTGTGTAGGTGATAAATCTTCTCATTCAATCTTGCTCTTGGTTGTTTTTGAACGTTTGTGGTTGTCTAAACTGTATGATTTATTCTTGATATATCCCTATGGCTGAGGGTGTGCCAAGACCTGTCAAGGGTTCCAAAGGGCAGAATCTCATTTAGCACCTAGTTTCAGGGTAATTGGTAGCCAGATCCTCAGGCAGTAGGTTTAAAGTATGCAAATACATACAGTCCTGGAGGCTGCAATTGAAATTCCTGCTGGCCTCTAGACCAGGAGATCAGGAAGTATCCCCTGGGTGGCAGTTGCAAAACTCTGGGCACCAGATGAGTGTATACACATTTCTGGGAGATCTCACTGAGCTACAGTGAGTCCAGGAGAGTACAACAATAGTGTCTCCCTGTTTACATTCCTTGGGAGCACTTCCATATCCTCTAGATGTGTAGGAAACCTGAAGTCTGTCCTTCAGGCTGAAGCTCTGGCTAAATAAATAGTCCTTTTCACAGGTAGACTGGGATTGTATTTCAGTCTGCTGTGTGTGCAGTGCCTTTGGCAGGGGAGGGTGGCCTACCAACAATTGTCTTTCTGATTGTTGCATTCCTGTAGATCTCAGGAATGCCAGCTCCCTTGGCCACCAGGGCCAGGCAGTAATGGGGCATCTTTGTGTGGATTTTGTAAACCCACTGGCTTTAGCTAAGCAGCTGGAGAGTGTAGCGGGAGGGGCTTGCTGGCTGGTTACAGAAAGGCAGTGGGAAAATATCTTGACTGCACAAATCTATGTGCTTCAGGAATGTAGCAGGAGAGTGCCTTGTCTGTGCATACATGCCACCTTTAGGCTAGGAGCAGGAGAATGCCATGACCACTCATAGTCACCAGCCTGAGCCAGACAGTTGTGGGAATATCACAACCACTTGTGTTTGCAGACTTTAGCTAGGGAGTGGGAAAATACCACAACCACGCTCCCCTGCCCTAGCCAGGGAGCAGAGGGCTGCAACTGCCCACTCTTTCATGCTTTAGCCAAGCAGCAAGATAGCGCCATGACCTCTCACCCCTGCCTATCTTAGCAAGCAGCAGGGGAATTCTGTGTCTGAACTTGCCCATTCATGCTAGCAGGGTAGGTGAAGAGTGCAAAAATGGCATCCACCAACACCTTAGTATCCAGAGAGACGATCAGTTGTTCCCTGCCCCTCCAGCAGATGCTTTTAGAATAACAAATAAATCTCCTTCAAATATAATCTAAGATCTTTATGAACTGCTGTTTTTTTTTTTACTGGGTCTCTGGGCAAGTGAGACTACACATGATCCCTTTAAAAGGGAATCTCAGTTTCCTATAGCACTTTGGGTGCCTTAGAAAACATCCCCATTGGTTTTCTAAGTCAGATGTTTTGGGGGCTTGTTTCTTTGGTATAGATCCCAGGAGTTGGGAGGACTGATGTGGGATACCAACCCCTTGTTCCTCTGGGAGAAGCACCAGACTGGTAATATCATCCCTGTTGTGTGTCACCAAACCAGGGGTGGGGTTTTTGGTGACATTGCATCTCTGCCTCTCCTATCTATTTAAATGTGGTCTTTTTATCCTTTTTTGGAGAGAAATAGTTCATCTAATTTTCGGTTCTCTTTCAGAATGAAATGAGCCATAGATTTGGTGTGTCTGTGGGAAGAGTTGAGTTCAGAGTCTTCCTATGCTGACATCTTATGGAAGTCATCTTTTGTCTTTTTGAAGATGGACATTTTAACAGACATGAAGTGACATCTCATTGTAGTTTTTGATTTGCATTTCCCTAATGACTAGAGATGTTGAGCATCTTGTATACCTGTTGGCCATTTATATATCTTTTTTGGAAAAAGAATTCAGATCTTTTGTCCTATTTTAATTGGATTCTTTGATGGTAGTGGTGGTCTTTGCTATTGAGTCATATGAGTTCTTAATATATATTGAATATTAACCTCTTATCAGGTATATGGTTTGCAAATACTTTTTCCCATCGTGTAGGTTTCTTTTCACTTTGCTTTTGCTGTGGAGAAACTTTTTAGTTCAATATAGTCCCACTTGTTTATTTTTGGTTTTGTTGCTGTGCTGTGCTGACACATAAAGGTGTCATATCCCAAAAAATCATTGCCAAGACCCATGCCAACAAACTTTTTTCCTATGATTCCTTTTGGGAGTTTCATGGTCTTAGGTCGTATATTTAAGTCTGTAGTCCATTTTGAGTTAATTTTTGTGAGTGGTATAATGTAAGGGTCTAGTTTCATTCCTTTACTGTGAATAACAAGTTTTTTAAAGCACTATTTATTAAACAGAATGTCTATTTTCCACTGGGTATTTTTGGTTTCCTTATAAATATTAGTTGACTGTATATGCTTAGGTTTATTTCTGGGCTCTCAGTTCTGTTCCACTCATCTATATTTATGTTTTTATCCAGGACCATACTGTTTTGATTACTATAGCTTTTTGGTATAGCTTGAAATCAGAAAGTGTGATGGCACTCACTGTATTGTTTTCTCAGAACTGCTTTGGCTTTTTGGGTTTTTTTTGTTATTCCATTTAAATTTTTGGATTTTTTTTTCTACTTCTGTAAATAATGCCATTGGAATCTTGATAAGGATTTAATTGGATCTATGGATGTCTTTTGGTAGTATCGACATTTAACAATATTAATTCTTCCAACCCATGAACACAGGATACCTTTCCACTTATTTGTGTCTTTGACTTCATCAGTGACCTGTAGTTCTCAGAGTAGAGTTTTACATCCTTGGTTGTTTACTCCTACATATTTTATTGCTTTTGATACTATTGTAAATAAGATAATGTTATTTTTTTGATAATTTGTTGCATGTATATAGAAACACTACCGGTATTTGTATATGAAATTTGTATCCTGCAATTTTATTGAATTCATTGATCAGATCTAAGTTTTGGGTGGTCTTTAGGATTTTCTAAATACAAAATCATTTCATCTGTAAATAGAGACAATTTTATTTCTTCCTTTCCAATCCTGATACTTTTTATTTCTTTTTTCTTGCCTGATTGCTTTGACAAAGACTTCTAGTACTTTGTTGACTAGGAGTGGTGCAAGTGGGCACTCTAGTCTTGTTCCTGATTCTAAAGGAAAAGCTTTCAACCTTTCACCATTGGGTTTGATGCCAGTATGATGCTATGATAAATGACCTTTATTATTTAGAAGTATGTTCCTTTTACATGTAATTTGTTGAATTTCTATCATCAGTGTTGAATTTTGTCAAATGCTATTTCTGCGTCTATTGAAATGATTATATGGGTTTTTCCTTCATTTAATTAATGTGATGTATCATATTGATTGATTTGCATATTTTGAACTATTCTTGAATCCCAGGTATAAATCACACTTGATCATGGTGACTGAACCTTTAATTATGCTGCTGAATTGAGTTTGCTAGTATTTTATTGAAAAATTTTGCCATGTACATTCATTAGAATGTTGGTCTGAATTTTTCTTTTGGGGAGTTTCCTTTTCTGGCTTTGGTATCATGTAGTGCTGACCTTGTAAAATCAGTCTGGTAGTGTTCCCTCCTCTTTGATTTTTGGAACAGCTTGAGAAGGATAAAGATTGGCACTAATTCTTTAAATATTTGGTAAAATTCACCAGTGAAGCTGTTGATCCTGGGCTTTTCTTCATTGGGAGATTTTTTATTATTCCTTACTGGTAATTAGTCTATTCTAATTTTCTATTTCTTCTTGATTCAGTCTTGGTAGTTTATATATTTCTAAGAACTTTTCCATTTTTTCTAGATTGTCCAATTTGCTGGGGTATAGTTGTTCATAATAGCCTCTTATGATTCTTTTTATTTCTGTAGTGTCAGTTGTAATATCTCCTTTTTCATTTATCATTTTGTTGATTTGGACCTCTTTTTTTTTGCTTAGTCCAGCTAAAGGTTTGTCAATGTATCTATCTTTTCAAAGAACTCTTAGTCAATCTTTCCTATTTTTTTCCTGTTCTCTATTTCTCTTATCTCTCCTCTTTTAATATTTCCTTCCTTCTGCTAACTATGGGCTCAATTTGTTCTTCACTTTCTAGTTCCTTAAAGCCTAGAATTAGGTTTTTTATTTAGGATCTTTCTTGCTTCTTAGTGTAGGCATTTATTACTATTATCTTCTGAGAACTGCTTTTGCTGCATACTGTAAATTTTGCATATTGTGTTTCCATTTTTGTTTGTCTCAAGATATTGTTATTTCCCTTTTAATTTCTTCGATTCATTTGTTGTTCAAGATGAAGTTAATTTCCACAAATTCATGAATTTTCCAGTTTTTCTCTTCTTTTTGATTTTATTGTAATCAGAGAAGATACTTAGTATGATTTCATTTTTCTTGAATTTGTTAAGACTTGTTTTGTGCCTTGACATATGGTCTATTCTAAGAAACGTTTCCATGTGTGCTTGAGAAGAATGTATGTTCTCCTGTCATTGGATAGAATGTTCTGAATATATCTGTTAGGTCCTTTTGGTCTATACTGTTGTTCAAATCCAGTTTCCTTACTGATTCTCTGTCTGATCTATCCATTGAGAGTGGGGTATTAAAGTCCCCAACTATTACTGTATTGCTATTTCTCTTTTTAGCTCTGTTAGTTTTTGCTTTATATATTTAGGTGCTCCTATTTGGGTGCATAAACATTCACAATTGTTTTATCTTCATGTGGATTGACCCCTACATCATTATATAATGACCTTCTTTGCCTCTTTTTTGCATTTTTATTTATTTTTTTTAAAGACTTATTTATTTGACAGCACAAGCAGGCAGAGTGGCACATAGAGGAGGGGAAGGGGGATTGAGAAACCTAAGCAGAATCCACACTCCACTCAGCACAGAGCCCAACGTGGGACTCCATCCCACGACCCTGAGATCATGACCTGAGCTGAAACCAAGAGTCGGACACTTACGGTTTTCCATTCCTAATGTAAGAATAGCGAGGGCAAGGGTTTATGTTCCATTCACTGATGCTCCTAGAACAGGGCCTGGTACTTACTAAGCCCTATGTACTTACAGAAAAATGAGCAAATGAATAACTTAATTTTGGGTTTATAGGTAATATTTCAGTTATCTAAAGAATTCTTGTGCTAGAAACATTTTTAAAGAACCACTGGCACAGGTAATTCAAGTGGAGGTATTTCTGGAAGCATAGTAAGTGGAAGGTTAGGGTTTCCTTGAGATTTAACAAATCTCAGGATTAGTAGTATGATATTAATTCCATTTGAAAATGAGTTCAGACAGAATCTCAGCAGAAGGCACAGTGAGTGTTCAGTGTGACAGCACGATGGTCTCTGAAACAGGAACCTGGGTCAAGAAGCCCAGCGTAACTTTAGTAAAGAGCTGACGGATGAGGTTGTCAAAGTAGTCATACACTTGGTTCTTTATAATTTTTTTTTTTTTTAGATTTTATTTATTTGAGAGAGACAGAGACAGTGAGATAGAGAGCACAAGTGGGGAGGAGAGGGAGAAGCAGGCTCCCCACAGAGCAGGGAGCCTGATGCGGGACTCGATCCCAGGACCCCGGGATCATGACCTGAGCCGAAGGCAGACACTTAACCAACTGAGCCACCCAGGCGCCCCACACTTGATTCTTTATAAAACAAAGAAAGAACAAGAATAAAACGTGTAATCTTACTCTTTTGGTATATACCTATGGGTGGCCAGAGAAACAATGATTGATTACTGGTCCTGAACTCACTGGCTAAAATAAAGTGCCTTAGCTTCTGAATGAATATGAGGCCAATGCAAAACAACAGGAGAGAGAATGCACGCTCAATTCTACTGCAGAGACATCTTCCAATTCTGCTGAAAATGGCAAAAAATAAGAGGAGTTTTCTTAGAAAACAAAGGCATAGGTTTATGTAAAAATTTTTTTTTCAAAAAAAAAAGACACATTTCATCTAGCAAGGGCAATACAAAGGGGTTATATAAATTTATTTTTCATATAACAATTGATTAGTTTAGAAAAAATTCCCATTTTCAATGCTTAATTCCATCTCGCATTTAAAAAAAAAATCACTAAAAGGACAAAAAAATCCCCACAAAAATACAATCTGTATCTGTTCTCTATTTACAGATAACCGGTCACTATTAAGGCACAGATTGATTAAAAACTAACATTTATTCAAATAATCCAAATATTTTGTGCATCATACAACACTGACAACACCATATACTGTAGTGTCATATTCCCTTCATTGCATCAAGAGAAAATGAGAAAAGTAATTTCCAGTGTTTTTATTTATTTTTAGCCACCCTATTTAATCTAGTTTAATTGGGACAGTTTTCTCTTTGGCATAGTATCAAAGCACTGTTCATAAAACCTGTATCAACTTAATACTGCAAATTCATTCCATCTTCTGTTACAACTGCATCAGAGAGAGCTGGGGAAAGAGCTCTAAATGATTGTTGTTGTTGTTTCCTAATTTGGGAAGGTCTTATTAAAGAAATGAAATTTACAGCACTGAGTGGAACAGGAAACAAATCCGAATTCTTACCCTGTGCTGACTGTGGAGCATGATGTGTTCATACAGCCATGTAAGGCAGGGAGCTCCAGGTGATATGTATACATGGGACATGTGCACAAGATGATTCTGTTGTACTTGCAAAAGGAGCAACTTGGTTCTCACACCTAAGCACGCAAGATTTAGTTTAGGAATGGGCATCTCCTTCGTGCCTTCATAACTGATATAATTTTATGACAGGCCCATTATCTATGCCTTCCAGGTTACCATATTATTTTTTAAAGTGAAATTTTTTCTGTGTGCAAAATTTCTCTTCAACTCTTTTTTTACTTTAACGGTAAGACTTAGTCATGGAAAAATGTCTGGCGAATCTTTCTAATCTCACATTTGTATCAAAGTCCCCAATTGTTATGTATGCTGATGTCATGCCTTCTGCTGAGAATGTGCGACAGTGGTTTATGTCCATGTAGAGAGTCTTGAATACTGAACATAAATAAGTCATTACAGTACAGGTAATTCAGAACATTTCCTATGGGAAAGTTTTCCAACAAATTAATACACTTGGAAATAATATTGCCTTGAAGAAAGAGAGGCACTTAGTGATTTTCTTCATGGATTGAAAACCCTTCATAAATCTATAATAAGATGTACGGAAAGACCTAGGAAACAATGTTGCCTGATTTCTTGGACTTTCACAGTATAAGATAGTAACAATGAGTCTAGTCACTTGGAAAATAGGTTTTTTTTTTTTTTTTTTTTTTTTGGTCTTCCTTTGGAACTCAGCTGTTTTATAAACTGTCACCCTGGAAACTCAAATAAAGCCTTTCTGTTCCCAGCAAACACAAGTCAACTTCAAGCAGACAGATATGGTTTTTAAAGTCCTGTGACCATATGGAGCACAGATAGAGTGTACATGATAAGGATAGTAATCTATTTCTCCTCTTAATGGCAACAGTGCTGTCTTGTCAGATGATTATTTGTCTTTTTTTAAATAAAATGACAATCTAGGGCTCCAGTTATTGAATGCCGTCCATTCTCTACCATAAATCTCTAGTAGATATCAATTTAATCAGTTATGTACTGTATGCTTATAATATCTAAAAATAAAAGTTTGATATAAAATAAATAAGTGTCCTTTAGTGGCAGTATACTAAAGAATAGCCCTTTGCCTTCAGACAACCATTAAAATCATTTTAGCAATACAGGCAGCAGCTAAATATGATGACTGCAAAGGGTTAATATTGCAAAGTCCATCTGGTCTTTCTTTGCACCTGTTATGTGAAATAGGTTCATTGCTAATTATTTCTAGGATGTTGACATAAATGAACAGAACTGGTCCAGAACCAAGGGGGAGTCACTTACATTTCTCAAAGTCAGAATATTCTGCACAAAACTAATAATCCAGTACCATTTTAAATAAAAATTTGATAGAAAAGTATAACTAAATCTGATTTGTACCAATACATCAGGTGACATGAAAATTGAGAGAAAGAGAGATAATTTCCACAGGACAAGATATTAGAAAGTGTAAAGTGCTGAAAGACCTCAATAATTATTTTAAAGCAGTAAATTCCATTTTGATTATTTTTAAAAAAATCCCCAAATCCCTAAACAAAACAAGCAAACAAAAGAACCTCTAAGTTTTCTGGCCTCCCAGATGTCAATTAATCCTTCATTTTAAGTAAAAAATCAGTGCATATGTTATTTAGGTAAATAAAAACAGGAAATAAAGCCCTACCCTCAGATTGCAAGTTCTGTCCGATTGCCATTAAAAAAAAAAAGTCATCCAAATGTGGCATTCTGTATGATGACCTAAGATCATCTTCTCTCTTTTGTCCCTTTTTGGCGCAAAGTTCAGGTGTGAATAAGATGCTTTGGTCCTGATCCCAGACACCCAGAGTGCTGAGGACGGTGTGCAGTGAAGGCTGTTCACAGATCTCGTGTGTCCAACTTGACTGGCGGGTGCATGCCGGGAGGGTAGGTGTTGCTACCAGCGGCCACTGACACTAGCAATGTGTGAGTGATACTGACGGGGTAGCCTCCCACTTGCTCCGCCTTCCAGGAAAGAGGTGCGTGCACTTGGTGGTTCAAAAAGTTTTCTTCGATTTTTATTTAGTTCTAGAGAGAGAAAGAGAGAATTGTTAGGAGCTCAGTGGCGAAGTTGTCTAATCTACAGGACATGGCAGGAGAGCTCAGAAAATGGTGACATAGGAAGGTTTTGGAGGGAGAGTCAACTCTGGTAGCAAAAGGAAAAGTTTTAGTTGCCGGTCAAGACATTTCTGAAGTGCTAGAAAGTCTGATATTAAGTGGAGCATGTTGGTAGTGAGAGAACCAAGGACAGCAAATCATTTTTACTGCAGTTTGTAGACTACCTGGGAGATATGTCATTCTCAGAACCCTCTGTACTCCTGATATACAAATTAAACAGTTTGAACTATCCCAAATGTCACTGCAGAGGCAAAGGGAGGGGGGCCATCAAAGCTGGTGAAAGGCATATGAGAGGATGTATTACCAATGACACAGAAAATCATTACAGCTACTGAACTCATCCATGTCAAACACAGCAGTCATGAAATCACCGAGGTCAGACATGAAAAGAAGACCCCACACAGAAACACGAGAATAACGGAGGAGCACGCAGAAGCGTTAAGCCACAGCCTGACGGCTCTCCTGACTCATGATGCGTCTGCTCCTGGAGTCAGAAAGAGTTCTGTGAAGAACTGTATCAGCAGGAGTTTCCTTTGAATAAAAAAATCAACTTAGTAAAAATAGCAACAGTTTAGTAAATTATTATAACTGAAAACAACTTATACTTGAATTCAAGTTCTTAGGAAAAAACTAAGATGCTTTATTTTAATTTTAAAGAAACCAGAGTACTGAGAAAAGCACAACTGATTTTGCCTTTCACCAACTAGAAATTACTAACCAGAAAGGTAAAAAATTAACTGAAGCACCTTGTTTATCACTATGCAACAACCCCCTGCCCCCACCGCATATATTTACAAATCCTCAAACCAAGTGATTTAACTCTTGCTAATGAACTCATACCAGTAAAGAGAACTGTCCTACTCTGGAAACTAGGGTTCCAATAGCCACCAAACCCAAGTATCAAATAATGGGATATAGTTGATGTGATTAAAGTTGTCTTTTCTTTCTTTTCCGTTTTTTTTTTTTTTTAAAGGGAGTGGAGCCAGTGATCCCGCACATGCATTTGCACAGTACTCAGAACTTTTCAACCCCGCCCAGGTACAATCCCCTTTCCAATTCTGAAGTTGCACTGCCAAGTATGGCTACACTGATGCTGGGGCTCAGGACAACAGACTCAAGTGGCAGGGCGCCGGCCACGGGTGGCTCAGGACAGCCATATGGCCAGATGTGCAATGATCTCCCAAGTTCTGGAAGATGAACCAACACCCTTAATATTTCACCCCACTGCCTTCCAAAATGTACATGTCTGCCCCACAGGGGTGATGCAAGAGTGGAGATCTCTTTTATTCACAGTTAGGTCTTCGGGGGAACAAAAAAAAGTGACTTAGTGGTGCTTATTAAACAGAAGAAGCACTTTACAATTTGTTTTGTCCTATTTAAGCCTCCTTAAGGAGTAAATGATATCACTATTCTCCATTTTATTTATTTATATATTTTTAAAATATTTTATTTATTTGAGAGTGAGAGAGAGACCATGAGCCAGGGGAGGGGCAGAGAAGCAGACTCCCCTTCTGAGCAGGGAGCCCGACGTGGGACTCGATCCCAGGACTCTGGGATCATGACCTGAGCCGAAGGTAGATGCGTAACCGACCAAGCCACCCAGACACACACTATCCTCCATTTTAGATAAGAAAGAAAATTGAGTTTTAAAAACAGACAACGTCCACACAGCTTTTAAGTGACAGGCTGAAACTCTATCTGCCTACACAAAGGTCCATATCCTGTGCCCTCGGCTCCAGTGGTCCATCCATTGAGTAAAGAAGACCAACTGGGGCATCAGGAATACAAATTTTAAAAATCAGTAGTTTCAAGTATGCCAGATAATAGAGCTGTACTTCAGATTTTACGATACCAAATTTATTTTTTAAACAGAGAAACATAGCTTTAAAACTCTGGAGAAGCAAGGAAGATATCTGTATGAGCAAGATATATGCAGGCATGCTTATAGATGGCTACCTTCAAATTCCTGCAGAAACACTGTAACCATGACATTCCTACTAAAAGTTGAACATATGTATCTTGTTTAAAAAACAGAGATTCAGAAATCAAGACAGAATTTAATGTATTTAAAGGCAACTATAGGAGACTTAAGAATAAATGAATCCCCTTAAAAGTACACGGCCTGGGAAAGTTTTATCACCTTCTAGTTAGAAGACTGTCTTTGGCCTCCATTATCTCATGAGAGAACAACCCATGAACCAGGAGAACATTCCCATACTATAGAGAAGGAAAAGGAATGAGCAGGTGAAACACCAGTCCCCCCCTAGCACACGTAACATGTACAGTCGAGCACATGAAGAAATTGGGCCACTGAAGACACGTTTTTAAAAAAGACATTGAAAACTTTGTTCTGAAAAGTCACATGAACTAGACTTTTGAGAGAATAAAATGACCATGAAGGAATTCGTCCATTCCCTAAAGAAATAATTTCTAAGGTATATATTTCCAAATGTGAAACAGAGCTAAATCTAGAGATTATCAAAGATCAAGTCCTACTGAAGAGACTTTAATTTTTGTTGTTGTTTTTTACATTAAAAAGCAAACTCCCTTCTGAGTTTTTTCAAGTAAACCTAAGAGATAGTTTGGGAAAATACCAACCTTTTTCTTTGAAATTCCAAGGTTCACACAATCCTGGCAGCTCTCAGGATCTTGTTGCGGGTCTGAACAGAGTCACAAACTAAAAGAATAGGTCGGGAAATGTTAGATCTACCTGAGGCCGTGGTGGGAAGCCTGTCAACAGGATGCTAAAGTCCCTTTTACCTTGTCCCTGTACATTTAGTTAACCACTCACTAAAACACTCGGAGAGAAATCAAAGAATTTTTTAAAAAAGACCATTTTTTTTTTCCTCTGATCCATCTCTACTAGAGACAAATCCCCTCTCCTTCTATGACATTAAAAGAAATGTCTTCTGGCCCAAGATTAAAAACAGAATAAAACCTCACACTGAAAGAATGACCCTGATCACAAATTAAAAATCTATACAATTTTAGAAAGGAATTTTGAGCAAAGTCTGTGTCTAACCAAACTATGTAACCACAAGACAAACGTGAGTAAAAGCTGCCCAACTATCCTGTATCTATCCCTGGAAATGGAATGTTCTGAGACTAGAAATGGATGTCTTTGTTATCAGATGAGTTGAATTGGAAAAAGAAGCTTTTTGACAAAGGGTTTCTCAATATAAACTTATTACTTGCAGAGAAAACAATTTACCAGGTTCAAACAAATATGCTCAACAAAGTAAGGCAAAATCATCCTTAAAATAATCAAATACTTCACACTGTGCAGAGAACATTCATAAGGCATCTATTCAAAGCCTCTAATTTCCTTTAAAAGCAAGAAGACCTGTGAACCCCATTGAGAGAGGTGGTCTACAGAACCACACTGAGGAGAAAAAAAAAATTAAAGAAGATTCAAAACCCCTCCTGTTTCCCACTCTACTACCCAAAACTCATCTGAAATATATCACAAATGTGTTCCAGAATAAAGGCCCCAATGATTTAGAAATACCTGCTTGTTGCTGGGAGCTTTACAAAGTTTGGGTGCACAAAGAAAGAATTTTCATTATATGGTCCCTTACATTCCATGATTCTCTAGTGAATAATTCTAGAACATAAACTTCTCTGGTATAAATGTGCTGGCTCACAAGCATATTTTTACACTATAGGCTCGGTGACTGTGTGAATTAAGTTTCAAGTAGTATATTAATTTATTTTTTAAATTAATAAAAGAATGTGAACATATATAAAGTTAATTGGGTCTAGAAATAGCACTTCAGGGCTGAGCTTCAGAGTAAACAAATTGAAAACCTATTGCCACAGGTTGTAAAAAAAGAAAGAACAAAAGAGTGTATCGCTAATCATATACACCGTTAAAACTGTAGGTTATTTTCACTACACCTGATGACACAGCGCTGGGAAGGACAGACCTTAGAAATGGAAGGTAACCTTACACAATTATCTATTGCAACCCACCTTCATGGTTAAGAAACTAAAACCAAACGAGGTTTGGAAACTCACCCAAGGACTAATGACTTGGCAGAGGCAAAGCTCAGATCTCCTTATGTGAATATAGTGCTCTTTCTACTATACCAAGCTGATCTTATGAACAAACAAGAAAAAGCATCTGCCCTGTGGCGTTTCATTAATGCAACCAGTTGGGTACACAGGACGGGAGAAGACTTCTCAAACTGACCTGCAGGACTCTATCCACGGAGGAGCCTAACAGGCCGCTCAATGGCTGCATTTCCACCCTTATTTCAAAGCTGCTTTGCTTGTATGTGCTTCAGATAGTAGGTCTATATATAAGATTTCCTGAGGGAGTTGGGAGGGGGATGCAATCTCGGGCTAAAATAAAATGGAAAACCACTGAGGTTTTCATTTTATTTGCTGATCTGCTCAGTGAATGCTGTCTGGAAAGGACTTGCACTGGCTGGATGCCCCTGCTGGCCTCATAAAGGCACAGCCTGCAAAAATCCATGTTTCGAAAAGGCAAAGTCATTTTCCCACCACCCCTGACACTGGGCTTCTGCCCTTGGTGTCTCTGTCTTTGAGAAACTGGCACACATATAACGTTGACATTAATGAACATCAGAACTTCTTCAAAAAGTAACCTCATTTTTTTTTTGCCCCTGATATCTTCCTCATATTTCTCTCTACACCTTTTTGAGGTACACGGTTATGTATTTGCAGATTCCTGACTCACCATCCAGCTTAATTCCTCTTAAATGGCAGATACTCAGGAAATACACATAAGAGCATTTTCTAATACATAGAATATACAACAGACACACAAAAAAGGTGGTCTGGGAGACAGACAACATTATTTTCCTTCATTCTGTAACTACACTCAGGATACACCCTTCTGTGACTCACAAATTCTATTAAGAGTTTGGGAAAAATTTAAAAGCAAGACAATAGTGCCAGATTCCAGCTATACCAAGGATCATTCTCTTCTTCCCTGGTGCAATGATCTCAGTTGGCATACAAGGATACATGCAGCTGGAAACATGACAGCCAATCCAAAATAATTATTCACTAACCCAATGATTATTGCTTAACACAGCCACAAAAAGGAGAATTCCACCTCTCACCCATTCTTGTGTTCTGCCAAGGGCCATTTTGGTTAGATCTTTCTGAAGAGATTGGTTTTAAAGAACAACATTGTCAAGGCAGGTTTTCAGGCAATGCCTTGATGAAGGAGCAGTAGGGATGTCCTCAGCATTTGTCACACTGTTAGTGGGAAAACAGTCTAGAACCACAACCACATGGTGCCAGCATAGTAAGCAAGTGGTTGATGGACAGAACCAGCCCCACTGGCTGAGGCCACTGGCAGAGGTTATTCAGGTTTTAAAATAAGAGTATGAGCATTTATATTCACCTGAGATTGCAAGCAGCATTTTCCTCCTGGCACCAAAAGTCGTAATTCCCAGCTCCTTCAGATCCTGATCTGTGAGAGTGAGGAATGTTTGAAGATCGATCTGTGGGTGAAAAAGTAATCTATAACCAATACATTAAGCACTTATTTTCTTGCTCACTAAAAGTTCAACTCATTATTACACATATTCCATCTACTAATTATGCTCTGCCTACTTCCAAAAAGGAACGGTGGTGTCACAAACCGAGGGGACAAGGGCTAAGTGATAAAGGTGGTGAAATTAAAGTGATGATTCTGGCATAAGACTTCGGCTAAGCCAGTTATTTACTGCAACTGAGATTAAATATTTAGGTCTTAGCATTCTGGCAGCCAGAGCAAAAAGGGAAGCACAAATTCTACAGTTTTGGGGAACTGATAAAAGGAAGAATACATACCTGTCCAGAAGAGAGAAAATATTTCTTAGCTTTGGATTCTGAATTGGTCAAGTATAGCTCTATAAATGAAATTGAATAATACCATATCTGGTATCCTCCACTGTGTTCTTCATAAGAATGAGAGAATTCCTAGATTACATGAGACACATGGTTCACTTGGCTCAGCCCGGCAAATTATCTCCAACAGTGGCATATAAGAGGTATTTCCAGGGACAATATAAGTGCCCTCTCTGGCATCAGCAACTGAGTGTGGAGGGACGTAGCTCAAGAATCCCACCCCTCCTTTTAAGACCGTGTGGAGGAACAGAAAGGTCATGAGCTCTGAAGCCAGAGGGTGTTGACTCTCTATTCTGCCCCTGCCATTACTACTTGTGGGCACTTCGGGTTGACAACACTGCACCTTACAGGGCTCCAGTGGGCATTAAAAGTGATTGGAGATATAAAGCAATGGGCTCACCAAAGGCATAAAATAACTGACAGCTATGGTTAGTAATTATGTACGTAGACATATCATCTGTGAAAGTGGCTAAATATTCAACTTGCTTACAATAAACTGAATCCCACAAGGTCACTTAATGGGGAATTCTTGTTAAGTGATAGCTGAGCATTAGAAAATATCCTACATGAAAGAAACAACCAAATTTATACTTTCATTCAAATTATATGGAAATTGAGATATTCTGTTTTCATTTTGAAGGTATATCCAAATCTTAGAAAACCTCTTCACTTATCATGTCTAAAGATGTGTTTTTAGAAATTCAATTAAATAGAGATTCTCTATTTTAGGGATCCTCTCTTTTTAAAGGGCAAGAGAGTAAATATTTTAAGCTTAGTGGGCCAAATTATCTCTGTTGCAATGATTCGACTCTGCTATTTTAGCTTGAAAGCAGCCATAGACAATATGTAAATGAATGAGTGTGGCTGTGTTTCAATAAAACTTTATTTACAGGCAGGTTTGCAGGCCACAGTTTGCTGACCCCTGCTCTAGCTAATATATATTCGATAAAGGCAGTCTGGCTTTATATTATCATGTTCTCTTCCTTCTTGGAGTAAATGGATAAGAAGTACCTTTAAGATACAAATGTAGGGATCCGAAGGGGTACGTGCACCCCAATGTTTAGAGCAGCAATGTCCACAATAGCCAAACTATGGAAAGAGCCAAGATGTCCATCAACAGATGGATGGAGAAAGAAGATGTGGAATACACACACACGCAATGGAATATTATGCAGCCACCAAAAGGAATGAAATCTTGTCATTTGCAACGACATGGATGGAACTAGAGGGTATTATGCTAAGTGAAATTAAGTCAATCAGAGAAAGACATGTATCATATGATCTCACTGATATAATCTCAGGAAACAAACTGAGGGTTGCTGGAGTGGTGGGGGGTGGAAGGGATGGGGTGGCTGGGTGATGGACATTGGGGAGGGTATGTGCTATGGTGAACACTGTGAATTGTGTAAGACTGATGAATCACAGACCTGTACCTCTGAAACAAATAATACATTATATGTTAAAAAAAAAAAAAAAAGATAGCAGGAAGGGAAAAATGAAGGGGGGAAAATCAGAGGGGGAGATGAACCATGAGAGACTATGGACTCTGAGAAACAAACAGGGTTCTAGAAGGGAGGGGGGTGGGAGGATGGGTTAGCCTGGTGATGGATATTAAAGAGGGCACGTTCTGCATGGAGCACTGGGTGTTATACGCAAACAATGAATCATGGAACACTACATCAAAAACTAATGATGTAATGTATGGTGATTAACATAACATAATAAAATAAAATTCTTTTAAAAAGTACCTTTAATAAATTTATTTCTATGCTTCTTTAAATAGTAAATAAATATAGATAAAACAAATCCAGAATATCATTGAATAACAACTAATCTTTCACTTCAAAACCTTCTTTGGACAAGTTAAAATACTTCTGCCCTTGAACTTCTCAATCAGCTACCCTTGTCTAACCTGCAAAACTAAATAAGTAAATGCAATTTTTTAATGCATTTGATGAGGAAAATGTTATTCAACTTAGAAAATCCTCAGTTAAATGAACACTAATTTAGATTCAGGGAAAAGAAAACAATCAATATACCCTGAAATCCAATACACACATGACAACGTTTTTGTGGTGTTAAAAAACAAAAAGTTCACCAATTAAACTTAATTACTTATTGAACCATGGGCAATACATTGAATTTATGATATAAACTGCATAATAAAAATCTTAGATTCTTTTTGATGGATATGTGCTTGGGAATTAGTGACTTAATCAGATGTTCTCTAGCATGAACTAAGCCAAACTAGCGCGAAACTTAAAGCACGTCTGGATTTGTAAAATACATACATTCATAGAAATAGTCTAACTTTCTGTTGCACTGGCTTTGCTGTGCTGTGTCCTAGTAATATGACAGCATTAACAGAAAGAATCATGTTCAGGGGCTCTTCTCTTTAAGTCCCCGCATAATAGCCGTGGCTGATGGGTTTGGCCAAAATCCATGGTGGTGATGTTTCAGAAGACATCGCATTTCTTAGTTCAGGCAAAAGCCAAGCAGTAAATTAATGAATAAGTTAACGTATATAAAAAGCACATTCTATTCTGTGGGAACAGATTCAGTAACATGACGAAGATGGGGTCAAAAACAACCATAGATATTTATTTCAGATGTTGTTTTTTAAGTGCCATAAATAAAGATAAAGATTAATGACTGAAATTATCTTAAATACAGACTCTGCTGCTGAGGGAGCTGTGAATCAAAAGTTCCTATGAATCAATACACTGATTAGGTCTTTCAGCTAAAATTGGGGAAGGTGTGTTTTTGGAAACACAATTTTCTATTTCTGCTATCCTGTGTTTACTGGTTGCACTAAATAAATAAGAAATGAGATGACATTTTTCTTAGCAGCACAAACAAGTTATGGGACTCCAGTAAATGCTCAGTGAAAGCACCGCCATAGGTCAGTAAGTGATTTCATTCTAGAAGCCATCACACATACAACCCAAATGAAGATGCCCGGGAAAGTAAACAAGTAGTGACTGACCTCTTGTTGCTGGAAGACGTCTGTGTATTTGCCCAGGCCCAGTTTGCTAAAGAGCTCAGGGAGGTCAGAGCCTTTGAAAGAGCTGTTCAAGTTACAGCCATTGCTTCCTGTCAGCGAAGAAATGCAGTCCATGTAATTGCTGCTGCTGAGATAGTGCTCCGCTGGAAGGCAAAGGAGAGACAGGCCTGCAGTGTAAATGCCCAGAGACAAGATGGTTCAATAAAAAATTTTAGTCACTCAAATATTTTAGATTTCATTGTTGGGCTGAACAGGGCAGGAGCTGCAGAAATACAGCAGCTCTTTACTGAAACACTGGCTTTTCATTAATGGAATGCTGGTTATGGCTTTCAGGGAGGCTCTTGCCATTAAGAAGCTACAGTTGGGAGGCCGCAACTCAGCAACAGTGCCTCTGTAGTTAATAATCATTAATCATTTTCTCCCGGAGCATTCAGAAGCATTTGCTCTTTATAATTGATTTGATGTGAATTAAATGAGAAATTGGAAGAAAGATGATCCCTGGGATACAATAAAGGTATGGAAAGTTACTCTAAGTCCAGGCTCCTTTTGGAAAGCAGGATGGCCCACTGTATCCACACCTGTGCTTTCCTGCTGTCAAAGGAATTGTAGGATATTGCAACATGTAAATCTCATTCTTTACAAAAATATAATTGGGCAGTTAGTTCACAAAACAGAGCACTTTTAAAATTAAGAGCAAATATGAAGGGTAAGAATGGTGTTGGAGTTTCTGGATTTAACTTATGACAGAAACGAATCTATCTCTTGAGAAAAATTCTAAGCCAGCAATGCTGAACTTGCCTTGACTCTGCGGCTGATTTGGTGGGCAAAGATTTCTTCAGGTTGTCTGTGGTTCTCAGACCCAGTAACATGCACTGCTGGGTGATGGACTAGTGAGCCATGCCTAGTACTTGACCAGATACACAAACACTCTTCCAGAGATGCTTCGGAGAGCCCAGCACAGCTGTGTAGCCATCCCTACCTCCCTGACCAACAACTGGCTCTCATCCACGTGGGAATTCTTCCTCTCATACCGAAGTTGCAGCTTCGGGAAGGATTCCCAGACTGATGCAGGCGGAGGGTGCTCACCTAGCTAATTAGATACATCAAGTCTCCTTTGGTCAAATCTAAGAATCCTGTTCTGCACTGTTTTGTGTGCCACTAATCACTTTCTCTGGCCATTTCATCTCCCAATTGAGAGTATATATACTTTCTATATCTCAAGTGGAAGGAATTTCCTGATCAAGTTTCTCTTTCTCTTAAAAACAGAGAACTGGCTGGCTCAGTTGGTGGAGCATGTGACTCTTGGTCTTGGGGTCATGAGTTCAAGCCCCACAATGGGTATGGAGCCTACTTAGAACTTTTAAAAAGTACATATTAAGAAAAACAGATGTTTTATCTCTTGTGGAGAGAAAGTATAGAGAAAAGGGCCCAGATCAAGCCCTGCGGACACCCAGCACTTAAAGGTAAGGACCCAAAGTCATCAACCCATTGAGGTGCTAGGTTGAGGCTGACATGAAGCAGAGTGTGAAGAGCACACGGGAGAACTGCTGGAGTTGACAGTATGGAGGTTACTGGCAGGATGACCATATAATTTACTGTCCAAATGATATACATTTACGTTCTTTGCGAATAAAAGAGGGAGTTACTGAGAATCACACTGGAACAACTGGTGTAAACAGGGAAGTCTGAAGAAAACCTGGACATTGGTGATTTTGAAAAGGGTGTCAAGAAAAATGATCTAAAACTGTGCTGTTGAATATAGTAACCACTGGCCACACGTGGCGACTGAGTTCCTGAAATGTGGGTGGTGGGATAATGTTTGGTAAGATTATAAAATCTGCTCATACCAGATTTTGAAGACAGCACAAAAAAAGAATGTAAAATATCTCATAAAAATGTCTTTATATTGATTACGTGTTTAAATGATAATATTTTACGTATCATTGGGTTAAGCAAATACACTAGTAAAATGTGAAAAAGAAAAGATGTTTTAAAATAAAGTATTCTTAGTGATATTATGGTACATAGCTTCCTTTACAGTTCTTTCTATCTTAACTACTTGTAGTTTCTATATTGTTTTAAACTCCCTCTGCTCTTAAAACACCTAACAAAAGGCAACCAACTCCGTGTCCTTAATCATTCTTTCTTATTAATGAGTTCCCTATCTTAACTCTAATCCTGAACTTCAATGCAGCTAAGTTGTACAGTCGATTTTAATTATCCAGTGCTAAGTGAAGGGAAAGGAGATAAAGACAGAAAAAGAGAGGCACAAAACGAATTTATACTGAGCATTTCCAGCCCTAGATCTGCATCCAGCACCAGCCCGCCTCTCAGCTCCATGCTTGCGTAGTGGTGGGGCGCCCTGCCCGGACAAGTATCCAGGCTAGTACTGTCAGTATACTTGCATTATGTTTTCTTATTTTGACTTGGCTGACACCATGGCCGGCCTTTTCAAATCTGAGACTCTTGACAACATGGCCGACCTGACTGACGGTAACAACTGACGGTAGACCACGTCTACTACACTCGTTCAGATTGCCGTTCTTCAAGTATTCTTCAGATACTCCACGCTATGTGTTTCACGATTCCAGAGTCATCAAAAACCTTGAAAAAGGCCATTAAGGGCCTACCTTGTGATTACTATTGTCAATTCTCGTCTGCTTACCTATTTTATTTATACAGCCCAGAAGTGTGGGTGCTGTTACAGACAAAACCACTGGACTTGTTCTGAGTCTCAACCACATTTATTCAAAGCCAGAGCCTCTGTGCTTTAAACTCTTTTTTCTATTTATGCCAGTTCGGCTATATCTTGCCAGTTTAAAAAAATCAGATCTTGCCCTTCACCTTTAGTAGCTATCCACCGGGCAGACTTACTTCTATTTTCCAAGATGCTAATGTGATCACATTCGGCTCAACTCCTTTACATCGTCGTCTTTTCCTCATCATCTGGATGCTTGTGTGAGCGTGACTCATCCATACATTCATTCAACAAACATTTACTGAGCGCCTAGTAAGTGTCAGAACTGTTAGACATTTGGGAAGAAATAACAAACAAGGCGCAGCCTAACAGAATGCTCGGCACATGGGCACTTAGTAAGTGCTTGCTGAATGAATGAATGTGTTTCCTAGCTTGTAAAGCTCAAATTCTCCACAAGTATAAAAGTGTAAGTATAACAAGTGCTAAGGGAAAGCACAAAAGGCAGTGGAAGCAGAGAACTACGCTATCTACTTCACCTGGAAAAACAGGGAAGGCTTCACAGAGGAAGTGGCATATGATTATGCCAAATACTTGAAGGCAGGGGGTCCAGAGTTTATATTTGAACATCACCCTAAATCAAATAGACAAATTCTAGACTGATTATATCTAAAAGTATGATGAAAAGTCAAAGCTCACTTGATTTGTTTTGTTTACGTTTGGGGCTGCCAACCGAAGCTGCAAATTCACTAGGACTCGGGGGTCCTATTCCATTTCGGTCCCTCCAGTTATCAGATTCACTTCCACTTCCCAAGTGTTCACGACTGTTGGACCTCGAGAGGGACATTGATGAGCCCTGTAAATAATCAAAACCAGATGAGAACATATTTAATAAGGTAGGTTTCCTGAGATTTGAGGAGAAAAGAATCTACATTAGACCATCACCAATTACTTCTATTGTTAACCACTGCAGGTTCCCACACATGCTGATTCTCAGGAGTCTGTGGTACCTGTCTATATAGCCTCTGTCCTCCAACCACCAAGGACACCTGGTAATATACATAGTGAAGTCTTTCTCCTTCATTATCAGAGTGCCCAACAGAGTTCTGAGAGCCCCCAGTATAAAGACTTGCTCCTATAAGGTTTAGAGCAGTGAATACTGAGAGTCCTCCCTATTTTGGGGAACCACAAAACAAATCTTCCAGCTGGTATAGCAGAGATTCTCTGCCTTGGATCACTTACGAAGGACAAATGGGAAGATGGTGTGGCTAGACCCAATGCTTTGACAGGAATAGAAGTGAGTCAGAGTGGAGAGAGGGCTGCCATCTCTTCCATGTGACCCTCATCCAAAGAATGATAGGGTCTTTCCAATAAATTACAAATACCTGAAAAAATTTACCTTTTTAAATTCCCTCCCAATAAAAATAAAAATTTAAAAGATCTCAACGTTTGCACTGAATTTGCATTTATTTATTCATTTATTTAATCACTGGCACTTTTCTTTGTACTGTATCTATAGTATTCAAGTCAGGATTCTCTGATTTTCAAAGTAGTATGTTTGTTGGGCAATTCTAAGAGAATCTTTCACTATTCAGTAAATTCACATAATTCAGTCTCACAGCAGCATAACCACACCTTCCCTTTTTAACACTTTTTTCCTCAAGGCATCGTGACCACACTTCCCAGCCTACTCCCTGTAGCTTTGTAGGATCTTCTTCCCCTTTTCCACTCCAAATGTCACATTACCCTGGGCTTGGCCCTAGCATTCCTTCTCGTTTCTCTCTACACTTTCTCATTAAGTAATCTCAACCTCTTTCAGAACTTAATGACAACCATGACTTCCAACTTTTTACCTCCAGATTTGACTTCCCTGTTGAAATTTATAATCATGGAATTGCCAATCTGACATTCCATTTTACTGTCCTGTAGGCATTTTAAACTTAGAGTGCTTGAAATTGAATTGTTAATTACTCATCCCCACTAGCTACACCCATACACACTCCTCCCCCAGAATTCCTACATCTCACCCAGAGCTTCTGAGTTGTTCTCGGCCCTCCTTCCCCCACCACATCAAATCCATCAACAAATTCTATTGATGTTATCTCTAAACATACCCCAAATCTACCCACTTCTCTCCATCTCCACAACTGTCATCTATTGCCTCCTTACGAACATTTTATTCTACTCTTGCCTCCCACCCCAATACCCATTTTCCATAAAGCAACTAGGTTGATTTTTTAAAAGCAAATTAGAACAAATGATACCTTCTGTATAGTCTTATAATGCTTTTCCAGTACTTTGCCATGGGCTGAGGTGCTCCCTAACTGATCCTCTGCCTCTTTAACTCTCAGCCTTCAACACTCCACCACCCTACCCAACTTCTGCTCCATGAACTTACCAGCTGGTTCTGACTTCAGGTGATCAAGGCCTATTACTGTTTCTCTAGATCTTCACAAGGCTGGGCCTTTCTTGTCATCTAGGTCTTAGCTTAAATGTCATCTGCTCATAAAGGCCTGCTATGACAACCTAATCTAAAGCAGTCTCTGTTTCATATTTATCAGGGATTTTTATTACCTAAAGACTTCTTGTTTATTTGTTTTGTATCTCTCTGTACACACCAAAAGAAAGTTCTCTCCATGAAACCAAGAACCTGGGTTCAAGCATTGTATCCTAAAATTGTGTCGAGAACACAAAAGGTGTTTAATAAATATTTGTGGAATTAATCTATAGATACCTTTTCCTACATCTATCGGATGCCCTTTGCTGACTTTTGGGAAGGGGCAGAGGGAAGGAAGGCTCCTGAGACCAAAGAAATGGTGTTTTCAGTTAAAACCATCTTTAATATTTTACTTCAAGATAAATCCAGTGTAGCAAAGGAAATAAGAATATGCTCAAAACTGGCAACTACCAGAAAAACGTCAATGAGATCATTACTGTAGTATTTATATGTTATTTAAAATTCTGCACCTAAACTCTTTTTGAGTATAAAAATACATTCATCTAAGATCTAAGCAGACTTAATGCACACAGCTCTATCAGACCTGGCTAAACATGGTGATTTCTAAAAACATTAAGTAAAACATAATCTTGTGATATCTATTAGTTCATTATCTACTCACTAATTTAAAGTATCACAAAGTGCAGCTCATCTCCATTCTTGGATTTGTAAGACTTAAAATAATCAGACAACCTTATTACTCTTAGTGGTGGGGAAATTAAAAACCATCTTTGATTCCCAATGCATGTTTTTATTTGCTTCAGAGAATATGCGGCAGAGATGGGTAGCAAACAGAGAAGGAAAATCCCAGACCTTTTGTAGTTCTGTTGATGTGACAGAGATATTGCGGGTCAAAGCAGCCTTTTGTTCAACCTTTTGTGCCTCAATGTTTGATCAAGTGGATAGGGTCATATTTTTGAGTCTTGGAGAAAACAAAAAAATGCCTCAAACTGCTGCTTCTTATCTGAAGGAGCTCTTTGGAACAGGCTCATTTCTCAAAGCTGCCCTAAAACTGGAAACAACTGCTCAAGTCTAGCTTCTCAGAAATCTGAATAAGAAGCTCAAAGCATCGGGCGCCTGGGTGGCTCAGTTGGTTAAGCGGCTGCCTTCAGCTCAGGTCATGATCCTGGAGTCCCTGGATTGAGTCCTGCATCGGGCTCCCTGCTCAGCGGGGGGTCTGCTTCTCCCTCTGACCCTCCCCCCTCTCATGTGCTCTCTCTCTCTCTCTCATTCTCTCTGTCTCAAATAAATAAATAAATGAAATCTTAAAAAAAAAAAAAAGAAGAAGCTCAAAGCATCAACTTCTTGCCTCAAGCAAGCTTCCTAGAGCAGGAAATTCTGTGTGCCTTGATCCCTGGAGCACTGAGTGAGCAGCCCACACCCATCAGAACCTATTGGCTAAACATGCTTCTTCGCATAGATCAGCATTCTACTTGTCCATTTGATTTTGTTTTGCTTTGTTTGGAAAAGAATAAGGAAAAATGAGTGTTTCTTGCCACCTTCTAATTTCAAAATATTAGTGCTGTAAGCAGAGATGTGGTTAATCCTTTAATAAAAATTTTTAAGTTCTCTCTGTTTTTCCCCAGGTCCTTCTCCATCCCACCCCGTCCCTATGTCCTAACCCAAAGAAGCAATCCTCACTGCTCAGTTTTTAAGCCCTCTGAGCTATAGCAGAATAAAGGGAAAGGCATGCATGTGCAGATAGCAACTGCTGGATAATATTAGATCTTACTATTGTAAGGGACCTTTCCATCCCCTTTCAATGGATTTGGGATGCATGGGGCAAAGGTTCAAGTCTTACACAACAGGGAAAATCTAGAACACCATTACCAAAGAAAGTGTGGTTATATCTTTTCATCAGCACTGTTGAAGGGGCTATAAATAAAAACAGGTTACATGGTGAAAGCCCATGCACTGATCTAGCTGCTCACACCCTCTCCCCCACCTTCCAGTGTGAACAGCTTGCTAGACATTAGCCAGGAAGGGGGAACAGGCTAGCCCAAGATAGCCAAAGCAAGAAAAGCCACAGGAGGGAGTTCAGCCATTGAGTTGGGACCCTGCACATCTCTGCCTCCAGAAAGTGGTCTATCCATCCTAGGACAGGGGCTGGAGCAGAAGAGTCTTTTAGGTTCTGAAATAATTTCTGCATCATCCTCCTAGTGTTACACCCCTTGAGAGCAGTGTTTCTAGAAGGGTGTCAGCATCAGAATCATACTAGGCTTTCGCTGAAAATGTAGATTCTTGATTCTTCTCCTTATCTGATGAATGAGGTCCTGAAGGAAGTATGTGCATTTCTACCAAGCTCTCCAAAGTGAATCTTACATCTGTTAAGCTATGGCAACATGGTTCTAGATCATTTACTTACCACCTTTGCTATGTACCCTCTTGGGTTAAACCATTAATAAGAGAAGTATAAGGAAATTTTTAAAAAATAAACTCAAGTCCTTTCTGTAACACCTACTGCCATGACCTCAAGTAAGACACTTAACTGATCAGGGCCTGTCTTTCCTCACTGGGAGCTTGTAGCTCTGAATAAGCTTGTGGATGAAATGCACCATATAAATCACAAAGAAATAAATTATGTGGTTTAAGATAATTGTTCTTAGCACAGTATGTGTTCATATAATACTCTGAGGCATTCCTTTGGATATAAAAAGCAAATCTAGTTTGAATGTGGAATAATACTTCCAGCTATAAGCTGTCATATACATAATCTCAACTTTCAGCCAGTGCTTGGTTTTCTTCAGGGTAAAGTTCTCCATCTGAAAGAATAGTAGCTGCTCGATATTATGAGAACTTACCACACACCATGCTACATACTGGACACTTTCTTCCAGGTCATCCTCAAGACAATTCAAATTAGAAAACAGGTTCAGAGGGGAGAAGTCACTCCTCAGAGCGTCCATGTATCAGTGGTGGCTGTCAGACCCCACAGCCTGTTCACTTGACTGCTACGTTATCAGAATGATAATCATTTCAACCGATAATGCTGCTGGTCTTTGAGAACACAACTGAATTAGCATTTCTAGGGTAAAATATTTCATCTCTGAAACTACAGAAACACGATCAACCACATAACACTCCACTCTGCCAAAGGCAAGGGTGACTGAAACTGATGACCATAGGCGCATCAGCTAAAAGCCTAAGAATCAGCACAGCAGTTTTAAGGTCTCTGCCAACAAAAGGAAAGCTTATTTTCTCTCAGAGCTATAATGGCAGAAAGAGGAGTGTGCCTCCTAGAGCCTCAAAATTTTTCATAATGGTTCCTACATTCTAGCTCCTTGACAGTAACTTCAGTCTTTAAATACAGGCTGCCAGGTTGCTACTGTTAAGTCTGACAATGAAATTCATAAGAGACTGTTCTTTTTAGTATTTTCTTTTATACTTAAAAACAATGGGAAAAAATTGCATGTTTGCTTTTGCCTTTCATGAACAGTCTAATTTATTACAAGGAAAACTGGTGGAGAAAAGAAGGTCAATCTACAATTGCTAGTCATTAGACTAACAATTATGAAACTCTTAAGCAGTATTTGTTTTCCAGCCTACAGTGTTCTGGTTGAACACTGTGATTCTTGGATTGATGATTTTTATGCACGTTTGGGTTTGTATACTCTCCCCAGTACTAAGTGTGCATGTGTGTGCTCTAATTCCGCCCCAACTCACAAAAGGCTTACGGCCAAAATCTGATACTGTCAGACTGAAAAGGCCTTGCTTAGCAAGTCACATGCAGCCTGGCTGAGATGTATGGAACGCTGGATCCTTTCCCCATACGGCAAGGATGCCAGCTTCCCAGTCGCACCCTGAGCAGTGCAGCCAACATCTGGGAAACATAAAACTTTGGAGCTCTTGTTTATGATACTTCCTGCTGTGTTCCTGGCACATGTGAACATGCTAAATTTTTAACTCATATCTGAAAACTTATTTTTGTTGAGTATTTTCCTTTTCTCCCCTATAGTGGTTCTGCTAGTGAGTGATACCCTTAAATAAAGGGATTCTTTATACATTTTTATGGAATATTACATCTGTCCTTTGCTTAATCTCAGCCCTGCTCTATCATTTGTGACACTCTCCCCCTAACAAAAACACATTTATCCAAATTTACATCTCTTTAACAGCTGATCAACAACTTTGAGAGAAGCTACATAAAGACCATAATATATTAGATTGTGTCAATTTGATAGCAATATGTTTACAGGAACAGAAATTAGAACAAATCACCATTAACAACTTTTCCTTATGTAAATAAAGAATGGTACCTCTCGTTTGCTGAGAGAACAGGCAGGAAGAATGGGTAAGGCGTGACACTACAAACCTCAAAAGTGGTTGTCATTGTGGGCTTATAGGACACATGGTTGGCCCTTCTCAGCTCCTTTATAGTTTCAGCTGGCATGGATTTAGAAAACCCGAGGCCACTCCAGGTATTTGTGGGTGTTCTGACTTCCGTCACCACTGGTTTCTTTAACATAGCTTTGGGAAACAGCATATTAAAAAATGTTTGGTATTTTTAATGTTTTTCTAAAATAAAATATTGATGAATGTTGTTTCTTTGGTATATGTACAGAAATTATCACTGAATATTATTTCTTAATATATAACGAAATACCTTAAAATATCTTCATAAAATACTTTATACAAAGTAACAGTAAATTGAAAAATGCTACATTATTTCTTAATTGCTCTAATGCTAATCTATTCAACAAAATACATTCATCCCCAACAAAATTTATGCAACTTGAACCTCAACATTCTAGGTTTCTTTTTATGAAGGTCCAATTTCTCAGTTCAACATGACTACTAGGAAACTTTTTATGGTCTCCTAGAAAAAAAAGAAAAATCAAAGTACTAGGTCATTAACATAGCACATACCTTTGGTTGCTAATAGCTTCTTTTGTTCATAGTCAAATGCCTGAAAATAAAAGACAGAAATATTTTTATTGCCAATCTATCCAAATGTCTTGCCAATACCCCATAATTAGAGAACAAAGGTTCTGACTACAGCCCATGAATCTGCGTGGGACACATGCTAAGCTTTGCACCATATTGTGACAGTAATGTAGTACAAGTCTGATAAATTTAAACATGTTTTCAAACTAATTAATTAGAATAAATTAACTACTTCTAACATGAAAGTGACAAGAATTACAAATTTTCCTTCAAAAGGGAAATAAATCCTATTTACTGTGAATATTTAACACACCAGGACCAATAAATGCTAAAGTATAGTGAATAACCCAATAATAGCCAGGCTAAGTTTCAAAATAATGCATTACCAAAATGTTTTCTGGTTATCAACTGGCCTCTTTGTTTCTCTACATCCCCTCCTCACTTAAGTAAAGCATGGTCTGAAATGGGATGATGTTAAGACAACTTAAATTATTTAGCCTAATTGGCACAGTCTTTGCTTTTGAAGTGAGATAAATAACACATGTCTAGCTTTGTTCGGTAATGACATTAAGCAATACAATAAAATTAAACTTAGCTATCTCTTCTTGTACTAGATTAGGATGTCACCATTCATTCTTTCTATTCACAATAAGTGACTTCAGTCATAGTCAGGTCTACCGAGGACCAAGATAGGTCATTTTGAAGAAAGCAGTCCAGATACAGCTACATCTCAAATGCAAACAGTGTTCTCAGCTCTCCAATTTAGGGACTATTTAAGGTTTGATTTAAGAATGTCTTAAAGGCCTACCAGGAAGGCCAAGAACCAATTGGTGAGAGCTCTTTTGACCCTTCTTTTAGGAGGACTATACCATCGTATACAGCGTGTCCATATAATTTATGGTCTGAAACAGGATACTTCTGAGAGAGAAATGTGCTACAAATAAAATTTAGGCCAGAATTATAAAAGTAAATGGGCTGACCCAGACAAACTAGGATGTGTGATTAACTCTAAGAACATGACAGTAAGTCAGGAGAGCTAGATTTTTAAGTAACACAGTTTGATAATGTTTTTGAAATCCTAGGTCTAAAATGGTACTGGGAATTAAAATCAACTTTTAATGATTAGATCCTAAATTCACTTGTTCAATAAATATTTACTGAGTGTCTTCTGGTTAAAGAAATTATGTTGTTCTTTGTAGAATACAACAATGAATCAACAATGGTCTCGAGCCTCAAAACACATAGAATCTTAGCAGGGATGTGTAAAAAAAAAAATAAAATAACTACAAAATAAATTAGGAAGTGAGGTAAGTGTGAAGAGAGAGCTAGAGATACAGCATTCCAAGAAGGGTCAGGAGACAGAGATCATTTTTAGCTGCAGGAATCAGAGAAGTCTTCAGTCTTTCTCTGTCAATGCTTGGTGACTATTATCATTGAGTTCTTAGTGATTTTAAAAGTTAGCTCTTCATTAGTAGCATAAATACATCTATTTAAGTTGAAACTCTATCACCAAGAACATTCTCATCCATCCTAAGAGAAAGGAATGTGAAAATGGTTGACTAGGTGTAAACTTGATGGAAAAGAAGAGACCCACAAGATGGACAAAAATCAAAAGGGACCATACAGGGGATTGAGTACTTATTATATAAGAAAATTTTAATTTATATTAACTGAAAATAAATCCACCAGAGAAAATGTAACAAATGTCTTTTTTTTTAACTTTGTTACTTTATAAAGGACACAGGTTATGTAAAAACATTCATCTAATAACTCATGAAAATGTTCAAATGTGAAGGATTAAAAAAACAGACAAGCAGGATTGAACTGTTCTCACTAAAATTATAGAAGTATAATTTAGTTACATGAATTTCTTTCTTTTTTTTTTTTAAAGATTTTATTCATTCACTTGAGACACAGAGATACAGAGACAGAGAGCATGAGCAGGTGGAGAGGCAGAGGGAGAGGGAGAAGCAGGCTCCCCGCTGAGCCAGGAGCCTGATGTGGGGCTCGATCCCAGGACCCTGGGATCATGTCCCGAGCTGAAGGCAGACGCTTAACCATCTGAGCCACCCAGACTCAAGATGAATTTCTTTCTTTCTTTGACACAGCTATGACAGCTTGTTTTTAGGATTCTGTGAAAAGCTTTTCCTTTTTTGGGAGAGGTGAGGGGTTTGGGGATAATATATCTTTTACTATGAAGTAGGAAAGTCTACCCAGTAATTCTGATACTGAAATCAAAGGTAGTAAGAGTCTCTAAAAGCACAAAGTACAAAATCCTTCTCTCCCATATTGTGGTTTTTATGGAAATCAAATTTCTGAATTTTATGATCAATAGTCTATTTTGAGTAATTAGCCTAATACTTTAAAAATGGATACAGAGAAGATCCCTGCTGAGGAAATTGTTTAAAATAATCATAAAAATCTCTCAACTAATATAGTCATCAATAATATTTAGCATCTACTTTCAAAAACCTAAAGCATCCCATTAGTTATTTTTATAACTATCTAAATGACACCAAATTTATCATCTCCATTAAACAGAAAGATATTATATTCATCCAAGACTGTTATGAGGTAGTAATACTTACAAGTAACAGCTTTCACATTTATCTAAAGTTTAAGTAACAGAGAAATAATATCATTTGCATAAGACATAGTGACACAGACCATTTTATGTCAATTTTAATATGATATTTTAAAGAATTCTTCTCACTCAAGCTTTTCATTTTTAATGTTTATGGCAAAACCAATTCCTAACTACTACATATATATTTAAATTGAATTCCGACTAGAGTGCCGAAGGAAAACCAAATTTCTACCCTATTGCTAACATTTGCTGAACTCCCCATTCCCTAACCCTACCACCCCATATTTGGATGACTCTCCCATTTCTCCTCATTACCTGCATGTTGACATACGATGGCCGCGGGGCTAGGCGAGCCCTTTCGGAGTTTTGCTGGGCAGCTGCGGCCCTCTCTGCAGCCCGCTCACTTCCGGGAGCCTTCTTGTCAGCCAAAGGGCTTTCTGCAGCACTCAGCTCGGCGTCAGAGAGCAACCTGTCAGTGCTGCTGTGAGACAGTTTGGAACTTAACACTCCATGTTTATATACAAACGTACTGAACGTCTCGTTTCCTGTGTGCACATTTACTATATGTTTACTACTGTCAACTATTCACATGTGTTATACCATTTCGTCTTCCCAACACTGCTCTGAGGTAGGTAGTAGTAGTATTCCCATTTGACAGATGATGGATGTACCTTACCCAAGGTCATACCTCTAGTAAATGGTACAGCTGGAATTTTAACCCAAGCGTATGACTCTAGAGCTGGAGTTGAAACTATTTCATGATACATTTTCCCAAACACTGTATGTCGTATGTATGGCGTATGTCTGTCATACATACGGAATAGATACACGGACAAGATTTCTAATTGGCATACATTAAAGAGATAGCAATGACTTATGCATATGCAGTCTAAGCAGAAACAAGTCAATCTGAAGGCATGCAGATGATCCAACTCTTGTGTGTGAAATGCACATGGTATTGCTAACAAATCTACTATGACAGAGGTATCAGATAAATAAATATTTCCCCAAACCTGTTCAGGGTGCACAGATGAACATAAAAATGACCCTTAAAATAGGAAAAATTATCTGAATTGCAAGACTGGTAATGCCTTATACATGCACCTCAAGTTCAAATCCAACTGTATGTTAAGCTCAAGTAGAAGAGAAATAAACAGTATTAGTAGAATAGCTGATTTGATTTGTTCATTCTTTCTTTTGTCATTCACTGTTCCATTGTGCCAGGGGAATTCAGAGGAATTGAGAACAGGCTATTGGAATATAAGAGGAGGAGCCCTGCACTTTGTTTGCTTGACATAAGTTCCCGGTGGCTTCACACAGGACATCAGAACTGAATGTAAAGGGCCTCTGCAGGTTCGGCAGGTGAAAGCCAGGAGGACAGCGTAAGCAAAGCAAAGGAAGCAAGCGACGTGGACAACTGGTGTATTTAAAGCCAGACTGTAACAAGATTAGACTTCTGTGTCCAAAAAAACTGCTGGAACAAAATAAAGGACTGACTGAGCTGCTGAAAGGGTAGAGGCAGAGAGACCATTCTAGAGGTTGCAGCTTAATTTAGATGAGAGGTAAGTTCAGAACCTATTTAAGGACGAAAGGAACAGGCATACCCTTCAAATGCTTCAACACAGTGAAGAAAGCAAATTTACTTCTCTAACCTATGCTGAATACTGTTCACTGTGGCTAACAGTACCAGGTAAGGAAAAACGCAGATAAAGCAGATTTGGACAAAATGGGAACAAGAGTAATTAACTGACCAAAGAGTTTATAAAAACAAAACAGATTTTGGTAAGAAACACAGGAAATAAAAATATAAAGGCTATATTTGTCTTAAGATACTCTCCTCGGTAAGGATATACAAGAAAACTAACAAGACAGTAGAGGAAATTGGGTGGAGGGAGATGGATGGGAGCAAAATCTTTCAACATAGAAGCATTCCACTGTATTGCCTTTTTTTTTTTTAAGTGTGAATAGACTGTCTTTTTGAAAAAAATAAAGTAAATAGAAAAAGAAAATAGAGTAAGGATAAGACATCTGTAACTCTGCTATTATGGTAAGGGAGAGTTACAGTTACTACAATATATGCATTTATACTCACTGTGGTTTATAAGAAATAAAATCATGAAACTGTCAAGTATTTACTACCAAAGTCAGCAATTAACTACCTTGGAACAAGGAAGCCATAGTTTAAGTTAGAAATTCAAAGCAAAATGAAGGAGAATTCACAGCAGGAAAATTTCTAACAGAAAAATCAGAGAGTAAATATTGCTTTGCTAAAGAGCAGGGAGGATGTTAAAGTTTCAGAGCACAGAGATGGTTTAGAAAACCCAGATACAAACCCAACCACTATTGAGAGGATGTAAGAGTGAAAATTACCAGATGGTATTCCTTAATAGAATTTTTAAAAGGAAAAAGAAAAGATAATTATAAAGAAAAATAAAAAACACTCTTGGAGAAGATCAAACTCACTTGAACCAAAGAATACCAACTACTGAGAGTTTCAAACAAATCCAGCCTGTTAGACATTTTCTTTCAAAGGATCAAGGACTTTTAAAGATTAAAATACATACTGTAAGTGTGAGTTTTTTGTGCCCTGCAACAGTTCTACTGTCTGCCTCTTGGCACAGGAAACTTTGGAGGGACCCATCATCTGTTTCAAGTCACCAGCATTCCCAGAATGGGAAGGACTTCGAGGCATGCCTACTTCAACAAAAGCATCGTTACAACCTGCAGAAGGGATAAAGTGAAAATCCAAATGTCACCTTATCATCAATAACCACCTGCGATGGAAACAAATCAGAACAAAACTCAAGGGAGACCCAGGCATAACAGCTTTCAGCTGCAAAGAAGACACTTTAAATTCAGGCTGCCCCAAATTGCATTCAAGATGAAATCTAAAGAGAAGACCCTCACAGTTTTAAAAGATTATTAGGGGTGAAAGGGTTTTAAAAAAAGAAATACTCTACTTGGAAAAAAATTGTAACATTTAGTAAATTGATGCTTTCCTCTCACACAATTACATCCACTTTAATTTTGAAGTTCCAATGTAATGGGAAGTGATTCTTTCCGTGGAAAGTGTTTTTCAGTTTATCTATCCCTGTGTTCTTTGGAATTTCATTCAAGATGTCTTTCTGCATACTTGAGGCAGGATGAGTCATAAATGGTTAGCAAAACCAACTTGACATCACCACAAAGACTTTACAACCCCCTTTATCCAAGTAACAGACCAGGCTGAAGTTCAGAAGGAAAGTTACCTTCCACAGGGTTTGATTTGGGAGATGCCTGCTCAGGTCCAGTTGTCTGTCTAGATGGATCACTGTGATTCCCACTCAGTACTTTTTCTCCAAGTGATGAAGTGGATATTGCACCATATTTTATATTCGGAGACTAAAGTGATAACAGAAAACAACATACAGATATGGTCACAATTCTAAAATTCACTTCAGGTGAAAGTTTAAACATATTACCAGTGGCTTATCTCTTACAAACAGCATAGATCACACTACTCTAGCAAAGGACATTACCTGTGCATGTCCATTTAAAGAAGCAGAGATTTTTTTGCCTTCTGTCTGCATACTGTTGACATGGACATCAACAGGAGTCAAGCCAGGAGGGGGCGACGGAGCTGTGTGCCCGTAGGTGGGTACACCAGACAACAAAATATTAGTTAACGTGGCTTGGGCAGTAGATGGAATCATAAGGTGTGGTATAGCAGAAAAACCTACAGTGACATTTCATGAAGACAGATATTAGACAGGAAAAAACTCAGATTCAACAAATATTACTTTATTATTTTCAGTAAAAACAAAAAACTTCATCTCTGTTGCTATAAACTCAGTAAGAGAATTCAGTTTTGATACCTCTCTGTAACTAGGTTTAACATTACTATAAAAACACAAAGCAATGTTCAAATGGAAGAAGACTTTAGAGAATATTTAATTGAAGCTCTTCACTGTACCGCTGAGGAAACTAGCTGGATTTCGCACGTGCATATGCCTGTCAAGCACATTTGTCCACCTGGAACTGGCATTTCCTAATTACCAGGCAGGTGAGCTTCATGTGTCTTTGCCCCTGCTTCCTTGCTCATCATACTCTTTTTCCTGATCTGTTTGACATGTCTGAAGATCATATTCTACTTTCATGAAAAACTCACTGCTTTGTCATGCTTCATTTTAACTAATTTACACACTGGGGAGTTTCTGTTTGGCTGCAATATGCTTTGAACCATAATTTTTCCCCAAGGAAAAGAGCCACTAGTAAATGTCATTTAAAAACGGACACCTAAAACCACATGCCTTTGATTGTACTTAAAGGATACTCACCTGTGGCACTTGAAGTGTTAGCAAGTGGGGGTGCCCATAACGTGGGGCTGGGGGTGCCAGAACTTGGACTTTGCAAAGGACTGACTGAGCTATTAAGAGCATTCAAGAGTGAGTTTGGGGTTGTTGATGTGTTTAGAGATAAGGTGGTAGGCCCCAAAAGACCTGCAATAAATGAATGCGAAGTCAATATGCATAAATTCAAGGTTTAAAAATACAGATGGCACCAATATTCGGAAGGCACACTGAGATAGTCTGATATTTTCCAAATACAATATGAGTGACAGATTATCTTCTTTTAAATATTCACAGGAGATACTGCATGCTACAACTCCAACACAGAACCCAGACTATCTACAAATAGACGCTGATCAGAACGGGAAGTTAGGTGTATGTAAACCAGGGAGGCAGTCAGGGTCACCGAGCAGTACCAGCTGCTTTGCACTCACTTCGACGAGCCAGGATGAACAAACTTCTGCTCAAGTGGAGACTCATTTTTATTTCTCTGTATAACTCACTTGTTTTCTGTTTCCAAACAAACTCTTTTCAAACCACTTACAATTAGCAGAGAAGAGGGGAATGGCCTCCTGCCGCAGAATGACTACATTCGGCACATTTGTGGAGAGGCCGAGCTACTTGGAACAGTTTGCATTCACTGTGTCAAAACACATGACTTCCCTGTAGTCCATGGTCCATCTCAATGAGTATGAAAGCTTTCCTCAGAAACAATTTTTTGTTTTTTGCTTCTTTTAAGGATTTAATGTTTGATTTAAGTAATGAAACTTCAGGCATTTAAATATATTCTAAAGCAAAATATGAAGTTGTATATAACTTCCCAGGAATATTTTAAGTATTAAGTATTACAGGATAGGAATAGACATGAAAACATTTTAAACATTGAGTAACTGAATCTTTTCTCTGGTGCAGGAAGAACTTGGTTCCTGCTCAATTATCTCAGGGGCCCTTCCTGACTCACATGCATGTATTGTTATGAGTTTTCAGATCTCCAGTGGAAGGAACAATTTTGGGAGATCAGAGGCCAAGGGGAAAAGTGTCTGTCTTTACTGTAATGGTGGGTTACCCGGAATCTTAATCATATTATAATCATATAATTTTTAAAAGCAAGAAATAGCTATTAGAAAAAAAAAATTACAGAATGCTGAGAGTATTTTTTCTGTCTCAGATCAATACTGAATGAGGCGAAATGATTTTCTAGGGTTATTACATTCACTTTTTTTATTAAGGCTACTGAAAAATGTGCAAGAAAGTAGTGAACCTAGCATAATTGCAATATGGCAATGAACTCTAGCCTGTTAGACAGGAATCCATAAATGAGGTGGTACATACCACAACTATGAGGCGCCTCACCTCACTTTCTCAAAGAACTAAAGCACTGAGGGGATGATGCTCTTTCATCTTCTATTCTTTGCCTTAGATATAAATACAGGTCTATTTGCTCCTCTTGGTAGCTCCAGGCTAGATTTCCTTTGTGTCTGGGTGAAGCAGTTCTGACCACTGGGAGTGGGGGTTCTGCTCGCTTTCACTTCCCCCTCTCCCTACCCCTCATACAGATTTGCAATTACTTTTTGAAAAGCAAACTGGATAATCTTTACCTCTAGGGATGGATGGCAATATTGCAAATGCAAGAGAGAAAAAACACATAAATTATAGTCAGCCTGCTCACTTCACTCTCAATGGCATTCTTAATTTAGAAGAACAAACACAGCCACTGAAAATAAAACAGTCAGACCTTGATTATGCCAAAATAAAAAGAATCTAGGTAAAAAAATCTGTGGAGTCTAACAAAAAACCCAAAATGGATTGATGTGAGTTTTGTTGCTTTTTCACCTAATCTTAGGGCCTGACAAGGGAAAAAAATAGCCTTTAAAATGTAGCCCCAAATGGAAGAAAGGGAACTAGCTAAGCAATCCCCCAGTGACTGAGAAGCATTATAATAATAAATTTTATACCTAGTCCAGTGAGTCCAAGGCCTGCTGAAGCTAAGATGTCCAGGCTGGGACATGCCAGGCCGGCAGGGCAGGATGCTGGGGACGGGCTGGTTGCTATGGTAACCCCACTGCTTTCAAGTCCGAGGAGACATTTCCTTGCTTCATACATATTTAAGGCATTTCTCTCAACACTTTTCACAATCACAGACTATGAAAACACACAATGGGAAAGAAAAAGGTGACATGCAAATAGTCTACAATGAATTGGGGAGGTGGGTTAGAAATGAATATGGTAATAAGGATTCCAAAAAGGAATATATTGATGTGGTTTTAAAATCAACTAAAAATTTTAACCACTTATTTCTTATGTTTACTCCTTGTGGTAAAACCACAAAGGGTTAGTTATAATTTACTTGGTGTGTCCTGTGTTTCAGGCACTGGGATAGAAGCTGTACATAAATCTTGATGCTTGCCAGAAACCTTCTGGATGGGAATTATGATTCACATTCAGTGAGGATAAGGGACCTACCACTGGTCACGGCCTCGCTGGGCTGGGGCAGCGAGAGGACTGGACCTCGGGTCCTCCGCCCCTACAGCCCATTCTCTTGGCAACCTCTTGCTGTTACATGAAAGCTTTCTCCTTGATCTCATCTTTACAAAACAACTCAAACTTGTCACCATATACAGACTGCATGGTAACAGTCACTTACATTTGACATTTATAGTCTCCTAGTTAACTGATAGACCTTGAGGTACCACTATTCCTCACTGATGGCATATCAATGGCAAAGCTTACGGTAAAATAAATTTCTAAACACTATATTTTTGTTCTCAATGGACTCATCTAGAAAATTGGAAGTGTGAACTCAAGAGGACAGCCTCCAATGGGGCAATAAAGAAAATCTATGACTGAAAAAGCAGTTAAAGCAGGAGTCAGCACTGGGGCCAGCTAGACAGAACTAAATGGCCGTGGGATGCTACAAGGCTCCAGAGTTCTCACTTACAATCTATTCTCCCCTGACCTGGCTCATTTCTTACTGAACTCCAGGAGCTGCGCTTGCGCCTGACTCTTCACGTGCACAAAGTCTCTTCTGTCTTTATCTTCCAGTCTTGGTGTCTGCAGTGACTCCAGTCAAATTAGTCAAGCATGACACTTCAAGGTACATAAAATTAATGTCCTGCTCTCTAACTTTAAACTCATTATATCAAGTTCACTTAGAAACAAACCTCTCTTTCCCTTTAAAGTTTTATTTTGAAGAACGCATGATTGTTTTTCTTAAGTTGGACACTGAAAACCATGTTATTTACATATATAAAAATCATCTATGATACATATTACACCATGATACATATATAATAAGATTTATAGAAATTAAAAAATGGAAAGCACAGCTGTTTGGGGTTTTACCTACTGGAATAAAAAGTATACATAAATGTTATCATTTAGTACACGTTATTATGCACCTTGCTTCTTTTATTCCACACCATTCTTATCTTTTTGACTGTGGTACATAGGTCTCTGCAGGGTGTCTCACTGGACGTAGAATGCTGGTGGGCAGGAGGATATCTGTTTTTTCGGTGTGATTAGAAGGTCCTAAATTGCTCCTCAAAGTGGGTGTGCCAATTTACATGACATTAAGGTAGGAACATTCCTCTTCCCTCATATTCTCACTAGCATTTAATATCATCAGGTTTAGCCCATTAAATTTGGACTATACATGGAATTATTGAAATTATGCAACATCTTAGAGAAAGAAGTTCCTAGAAGGCTTGTCCCCCAGAAGACTGGGGACATGTCATTATTTACTTTTGATTATCATTATTAGTTTATTATTTTATTAAAGAGAATGGACATCTCTTCTTTAAATCTCCAGGGTTAGCAGAGTGGCTCACAAAGAGTATGTAAACTAAGTATTTTTTAATTGCACTGGATATGTACACATACACATACACACTTAACACAATGTTCAGCCTTATCAACTCTCTGATAACTCAGTAAAGCTGAAAGTTACCAGGTTGCAAATGAATAAAAACACATCTTTGCTTTCTTTTTCATATGTTTGTAAAAAATAATGGTCATTAAAAATGAACTCCAAAACCAACACATAAAGAAAATGATGATCAATAATGAATGTTTTTACAAACTTATGTATTTAAATAACAAAGTATAATATATAATGACATATGTATTATATAGAATATTTAATTCCATGTATATGCAAATACACATGTATATGAAAATAAAACTATCTAGAATGTGATATGATACGTGGTTCTCAGGGTCCAGACTCTGAACCAACCTTGCTTGGTTGTTTCGGCTTTGGTTTAATACTGATGAAGACATCGAGCTGTTCCATCAACTGAGCAATGAACTGTGGATCAACTTCAATTTCTTCCTTCATATCAAACATCAACACAAGGGGAAGACAACCCTAAGAAATGTCACAATAGAAAGTGTAGGAAGTAAAACGTTACTCATTTAAACATCTGATAATTTAACATGCCTACAAATAATGCAATATTCTATGGGCTGAAAGAGTAAACCAAAGTATGAAAGCTGAATCACATGCTTTCACAAAGCTTAGGGAATTAGTGTGGAAATAATGCTGAGGGCACAAATTATTTTTGAACGACAAAATAATATGTGTCTGAAGTTTCTGTTATTGGCCCTAAATTTTTTACCCACTTTCCACCTTGGAAAATTCCTCCATTCTCTGACTTCCGTTTGTTAGTGATGCCAGAAACTAGATCCTGAACCACATCAAGGGCACTAATCCTGTGCTTTTGCTCAAAGACTTACAGTACTGGTTTTTATTGTCTTCTGAATGAAATCTAAACATGTCCCAGCATTTCAAGATCTCCACATTTTGGCCCAGCTTTGCTTGTACAGTCACAGGCCTGCATGTCCACACGTCTGCCTCTTCCTAAAGGCTAGACCAGTCTCCTGACTATTTTTCAAACAGATTCTGTACTTGGGTCTCAACTCACCCAGAGGCTTCTTCACCAACTGAAGACCTACCTCTCTTCTGGGGCAGCTCCAACCTTACCTCCTTCCTGGAGTAAAATGCTACTACTGTTTCTTCTTTTAGCTTTCTCACTTTTTAGCTCTGCAGGTCAGCACTTGTTTTTTTCTCTGATGCCTTCTTCCTGGCCCCGAATCTACTAACCATAGGAATCTCATACTTTTACTGATTCCCAGGACGTTCAGTACTAGCCCACTTGATTGCTGGGTTCTGTACAGAAGTGTCAGGAGAAGTACCAGTCAAATACACTGGAATTAAAATGAAATGACTGTATTCCATTTTCCTTGTGGACAAAAGTGATTTTTGTATTTAAAATATAGGTTAAAGCCTTTATTTCTTTTAAAGATTTATTTACTGGTCGCCTGGGTGGCTCAGTCGGTTAAGCGACTGCCTTCGGCTCAGGTCATGATCCTGGAGTCCCGAGATCGAGTCCCACATCGGGCTCCCTGCTCGGTGGGGAGTCTGCTTCTCCCTCTGACCCTCCCCCCTCTCATGTGCTCTCTCTCATTCTCTCTCCTTCAAATAAATAAATAAGATCTTTTAAAATAAAAAAAAAAGATTTATTTACTTATTTGAGAGAAAGAGAGTGTGTGTACACGCATCAGTGGGGGGAGGGGCAGAGAGAGAGAAACTCAAGCAGACTCTGTGCTGAGTGTGGAGCCCAACATGGGGCTCAATTTCATGACCCAGAGATCATGACCTGAGCCGAAATCAAGAGTCAGACACTTAACCAGCTGAGCCACCCAGGTGCCCCTAGGTTAAGGCCTTTTAATTTATCCCTCTCTTCTTCACTTCTTTTAATATTGTACAATACTATATATCTCATTGCACACTTATATTTTTGGTAGGTATGATCAAACTGAATATGAATTCCTAACTGTACAGAATGTCTGAAAAAGTTCACTTAAAATAACACCTAAAGAGAAAAAGCAGAAAAAAAGAAAATTATGAAGAGTAATCATAATAATCTTTGGACATAAAAATGCTACCTAACTAGTGGTATATTAAAAGTATCCTTATAGGGGCACCTGGGTGGCTCAGTCAGTTAATCGTCTGCCTTCGGCTCAGGTCATGATCCCGGGGTCCTGGGATCGAGCCCCGCATCGGGCTCTCTGCTCATCAGGGAGCCTGCTTCTCCCTCTGCCTGCCGCTCCCCCTGCTTGTACTCTCTCTGTCTCTCTGTCAAATAAATAAATGAAATCTTTAAAAAAATAAAAAAATAAAAATATCCTTATAAACTAAGCTTGGCTAAAAAGAAATCATTCACAACAAACTAATTATGTATTATAATCCTTAATGATTATATTAAGTTCTTATCAGAGGAATGGAATCAAAAATAAAAGTTTGGATTTTCTGGGGCACCTGGGTGGCTTAGTTAATTAAGTGTCAGACTCTTGATTTTGGCTTAGGTCATGATCTCAGGGTCCTGGGATCCAGGCCCGAGTTGGGCTCTGTGCTGAGCATGGAGCCTGCTTAAGATTCTCTCTCTCTCTCACCCTCTGCCCCTCCCCTCCCTGCTTGTGCTCCTCTCTCTCTCTTAAAAAACAAAAATTGCATTTTCTGAAAGTTTCTCAAAAACAAATTCTGCAAGTTAATAAGAGTAAAGATCATACCTGAGGCTTACTGTTTCAAATATCACTAAAGGTCAAGTTCTTGAATACAATGATGTTTTTAATAAGATAATTTGTAAGTCCACATTATGTCAATCCATTTTGTTACTGTGTATCAACCTACACACTGTGTTTTTAAATGAATATAGGAAGAACAGAAATATTGCAAATTTTAAATAGGAAGCAATAGTTAATTATATAATGGCTATTTTCTTCAATGCATTAAGACTCAAATTTGTGGCTTAAATACCATTTTTTAAATTGTATCAGAGATCTGTGAAATGTTCATGTTTCATGCTACTAAAATTTGTATCAAAAAATAAGATTTATATCTGTGAGGGTAAAAAGGTATTTTTATTTTCTGTTTAAACAGAAGACTTTTTTTTGTCAAATGCAGACAAATACTACATGTCAGACGAAAATCACCTTCCACAAAATACAGCACATTATTTCATTGTATCCTCTTCTGTGTTTAGTTTAAGTTAAAAAAAAAAATACTGCAAAGAAATTACTCGCCTATGTAATGAAATGAAACCTGTAAGGCGCTACATACTTTACTCTTATTTTATTTCCTTTTAGCAAGAAACTGATTTGACAAGGCTTTCGGAGTGTTTTCATGAATACCACAGTAGTATGGTGGGTGCCGTCACATACATTGTACCCAAAGAAGTAAAGAAAATAAAATGGAATTGGAACACTAATTTCAGTAAACCTACCATGAGATATTGCCTTGCAAGACAGACAGACTCAATGGTGCCCTGGAGGTAGACGGTGGATTTCTTTTGTGGATTACTGGGGTCAGGAAAGTGGATCTGAGCACCTGTTCTTTGCATGATATGTTTGATGTTGCTTCCATTTCGACCCATCATAAAGAGATGATGTTGAGCTGCAATATCTAGTTGTGTGCTCACAGGAATAGCTGATGCCAAGCTCCCAGCGAGATGTTCCAACAGCATAGCAGTTCCTTCCTATGAGAAAAGGGTAGGAGAGAAATAATCCTATAGAATAACTGTCCACATACAAGGAAAGATTCTAGTGCACTTCTAATAGCTATGGAGAAACTCAACACATTCTATAAACCAAAATGCAACACAAGGGAAAATTCTGGAAAATGAATTAGTTTAAAATCCTTTAAAAATGAAATTTGCATAGGGGTGCCTGGGTGGCTCAGTCAGTTAAGCAACTGCTTTGGCTCAGGTTGTGATCCCAGGGTCCTGGGATCGAGCCCCACATTGGGCTCCCTGTTCAGTGGGGAGTCTGTTTCTCCCTCTCCCTTTTCCCTTTCCCCACCCCTCGTGCTCACTCTCTCACTCTCTCTCTCAAATGAATAAAATCTAAAAAAAATAAAAATAAAACTTGCATAATTCGTACACTTATGATGTTCATAATTATCTCAATTACTTACCTTCACAGCACTCGTGTTATTCTGAGATCCTCGTACTATCACAGTAGCACCATACATTCGAGAACGCTGCTTAAATGACACTGAAATGTTGTACGTTTGTGATATGTGCTGAATCGAGGGGGAGTTAGGATCGGGAACTGGTTGAAGAATCCCAGCGATTGGTAGCTCAAACATCAGCACCAAAGGAAGCAGCTCCTAAATGAAAGTATGAGAGCCCAAAGCAGACAGCTGAATCACTATATATTTAGAGATGTGCATAACTCATTCCTTCTTTTCTGAGGTTGGAATTATAAAACATAAATTGTTTTTATTATAGACATTAGCTTGGGTAGACTTTGTAAAGTTTCTCAAATGAAAAGAGTCTTTTGTGAAACCTGAGAGTTTGTAACAGTTGCCTGTGGAATTCTTCCTTGGGTCTCTTTTTCATCATTTTAAAATCATCAGAGAAACAGAGTCAGGTATAATCTGGAATATCTCTAAGAAACATCTTCAACACATTAAAACAACTTCTGTCACTATTTCCTAACTACTGAACATATGATTTGGTTATAAATTGATACATTAAGATATTTTTATTGCCTTATGATGCAACCATTGCTGATACTGATTTACAGTAGTAAAATAGTAAACAGTTACCCGAATTCTAACTCGGGCAGATTCTACTCCTGCTGGTTGTCCTGCTATAGATACCTGCAAAAATAAGAAAATACAGAGTTAGATTTCAATTGAGCCCCCATCTGCTTTTCCAGTCATCTACACCCTTTCCACTCAAAATGTCATCCAGGAAAAAACAGCATTGCCATTGTCTGGGAGCTTGTTAAAAATGAAGGATCTCAGGCACCAACCCAGTCCTACTTAATCATAATTTGCATTTTAATGAGTTCCTTAGCTGATTTGTGTCAACTGATTTACATCAACCCCTGGACTTACCTAAAACTTCACAGTCCCTGTAATGCCATCCTCCCCACTTTATCATTTCTCTTGTTCACTGCATTTTCTATCTTTTGTTTAAACTCTGCATACTGTATATCAAGTCTGTATTGTGTATCACTATACAATGTTATTGCTGCAATAAGTACTCAAAATATTGAACTACTTCATGCTAGCTGGTAAAAAAAAAAAAAAAAATCGTTGCTCCAACACCACCTCCGTCTCTCTCCCGGGATCCCCTGAACTTTTCCCATGATACATCAACTAAAGAATCAATCTTGGCATGAGGGTAAAGGTGTGGGGCTCCAGGGCACTGTTCCTGATAGGCCATACCCCATGCCATACCAATTGTCAAATATTTGGAATACTGCCCTTGCTTTCTATCTTTCTTATGTATGTGTCACTGTCACCATTAGTCCCCACAGAGAAAAGACTGTTATCTTATTCATCTTTGTGACTGACAGTTTCTAGTACTGTGATTAGATTAGAGAGGAAACTTCCAAATAACACAAATAATACTATCTTATCTTCAGGTACTGAAAATGTATGGACAGGTGAGTTTCATTAGTTTTCAAACACAAGAATTAGAAAAAATGTGTATAAACTAAAGAGAGACATAATTCAGTCAATGTGAGGAAGACAAGCACTCGGGCACTGCCTCTTCGAAGGTGATGTGGCACAGCCTGCAGAACCACATGCATGATGCTATGGACAGAATCCCCACAGTTGACACAGTAGGCAAGGTTCCAGGTCCTTTCCTAACATAATGTTCTCTGGGCCTTGCCTCAGGGACTCCACTTTATGTTGCCGTCACATTTACAGTGCTCCCTCTCTTCTACAACCATTTAGAGATTAAAAGTTTATAGCCTACCTACAAGTCATCTCTTTAAAAAATTAGAGCACCTTCAGTCTACTTGGAAGGGGGACATACATTCTTTTATTATTTTAATTTTTTGAGTATAGTTGACACATAATGTTACATTAGTTTCAGGTATACAACATTAGTGATTTAACAAGTTTATAAGTTATGCCATGCTCACCATAGTTATTACAATACCACTGGCTATCTTCTCTATGCTGGGCCTTTTATTCCCATGACTTATTCGTTCCATAACTGGGAACCTGTACCTCCCACTCCCCTTCACCCATGTTGCCCATCTCCCCACCACCCTCTCCTCTGGAAACCATCAGTTTGTTCTCTGCATTTACAGGTCTGCTTCTGCTTTTTGTTTATTCATTTGATTTTTTTTAGATTCCACATATTAGTAAGATCATATGATATGGATAGCCAGTTTGGATTTCCGGAAGCTTAAGTGGCAGAGCCTGTGGGAGGGCCCCCAAGCACTGTGTTCACAGACAGGGAAAGGTGGCAGAGGAGTAGGGGACCCTATTCCAACCAGTCCCCAGAATTGAGCTGGAGATCTACCAGACCACTCTGAACACCCAAAAAAACAGCCTGAGATGTAAGAAGATAGATCTGGATCTCCACAAACAGAATATTGTAGGCAGTTAGTTTCGAGGTTCGAAGCAGGGAGCCATGATCCCGCTGGCAGATATCGGAGGATAAATGGCAGCAGGAAGAAGCCTGGCCATGGGGATCCTACACTGCCAGTGAGCGAAAGCCTCCCACACTGGGGACAGGGCACAGACTCGCAGACCGGTAGCGGCAGGGAAAGGACTTTAGGGCAGCTCCCCGGATGGGAACTGGAGCGGCACGGCTGCGCGTGCAAACTGGGCGTGGCTGGCGGTTTTAGAAGCACAAATGGCAGAGATGGGCCCTGACCTGGAGGTGAGAACGGGGAGCGCTGCTGAGGGGCGCACAACCCAGGACACTGCAGTTTATAGCAGCACAGACAGAGATGGAAATAGTGTGGCCTGGAGAGCTCACTGAAGAACAGACTGCGATCTCTCTGCTCTGAGGCAGAGGGTTGGAAATGATCTCTTCTGCTCTGACTCTTGGAAGAGACACGGAAAGCTGCCAGGGAAAACTGCCAGAGAACAAAAGCCCCAAAAAACTGGTTTCCACTGAGCCCATCCCCCGCCACAGGGTGCAGGGCAACTCTGCCCAAACAGGCTGCCTGAGTAACAGCGTGGCAGGCCCCTCCCCCAGAAGGTAGGCTTGGAAAACAAGAGGCCAGCAACCCTAAGGTCCCTAGAAAACAGGTGCATCTGGCTTGGGTTGTGATCAATAATTTGGACTCTATACATTCCCTCAACCAACCCTCAACATAATGACTAGGAGGAGGAAACCCCAAAATAGGAAAAGACTCAGAGACTATGACTTATGCCACAGATTTATAAATGGATTCAGATATAACCAAGATGTCAGAGATGGAATTCAGGCTAATAATTGTGAAGACAATAGCTAGAATGGAGAAATCAATTAATGGCAACATAGTGTCTCTAAGGAAAGAAATGAAAGCTGAATTGGCAGAACTTAAAAATGCTACCAATGAGATCCAATCTAATCTAGATAATCTAACAGCTAGGATAAATGAGGCAGAAGAATGAATTAGTGACCTAGAAGGCCAATTAATAGACAAAAAGAGAAAAGAGGGGGTCAGGGAAAAACAACTTAGAATCCATGAAAATAGAACCAGAGAAATAAGTGACACCATGAAACGTTTCAATGTCAGAATTATTGGAATCCCTGAGGGGGTGGAGAAAGAGAGGACTAGAAGATATATTTGAGCAAATCATAGCTGAGAACTTCCTTAATCTGGGGAATGAAACAAACACTCATGTCCTAGAGGCAGAGAGAACCCCTCCCAAGATCAAGGAAAACAGGCCAACACCCTGGCATGTAATAGTAAAACTCGCAAACCTTAGAACTAAGGAAACCATCTTAAGGGCAGTTAGGGGGAAGAGATTTCTTATGTACAGAGGGAAGAACATCAGAATAACGTCAGACCTATCCACAGAGACCTGGCAAGCCAGAAAGGCCTGGCAAGACATATTCAGGGTACTAAACGAGAATAACATGCAGCCAAGAATACTTTATCTGGCAAGGTTGTCACTTAGAATAGATGGAGAGATGCAGAGCTTCCAAGACCAGCAGAAACTGAAAGAATATGTGACCACTAAGCCGGTCCTGCAAGAAATATTAAGGGATAAAAGGAGAAAGACCCCAAGAGTGATAAAGAAAAGAAATTTACAGGGACAATCTATAAAAACAAGGTCTTGACAGGCAACATGATGACAATTCATATCTTTCAATAATAACTCTCAACGTGAACAGCCTAAATGCTCCCATAAAACGGCACAGGGTTGCAGATTGGATAAAAAGACAGGACCCACCCAAATGTTGTCTACAAGAGGCTCATTTTGAACCTAAAGATACATCCATACTGAAAGTGAAGGGTTGGAGATCCATCTTCCATGCCAACGGACCTCAAAAGAAAGCTGGGGTAACAATTCTTCTATTAGACAAATTAGATTTTTTTTTAAATTTTTTTATCTATTTTTTGACAGAGAGAGAGAGACAGCAAGAGAGGGAACACAAGCAAGGGGAGTGGGAGAGGGAGAAGCAGGCTTCCCATGGAGCAGGGGGCCTGATGCAGGGCTCGATTCCAGGACCCTGGGATCATGACCTGAGCCGAAGACAGACACTTAATGACTGAGCCACCCAGGCGCCCCCAGACAAATTAGATTTTAAACTAAAGACTGTAGTTAGAGACACAGGAAGACACTATGTCATTCTTAAAGGGTCTATCCAACAAGAAGATCTAATGATTGTAAATATTTATGCCCCCAATATGGGAGCAGCCATCTACATAAGCCAACTGTTAACCAAAATAGTCATATTGATAACAAAACGTTAATTGTGGGAAACCTCAATACTCCACTCTCAGCAATAGACAGATCATCTAAGCAGAAAATCAACAAAGAAACAAGAGCTTTGAATGACACACTGGACCAGATGGACCTCAGAGGTATATACAGAACATTCCACCCTAAAACAACAGAATACTCATTCTTCTCAAATGCACGTGGAACTTTCTCCAGAATAGACCACATACCGGGTCACAAATCAGGTCTCAACCGATACCAAAAGATTGAGATTATTCCTTGCATATTCTCAGACCATAATGCTTTAAAACAAACTCAATCACAAGAAAAAATTTGGAAGAAATTCAAACACTTGGAAGCTAAAGACCACTCTGCTCAAGAATGTTTGGGTCAACCAGGAAATCAAAGAAGAACTTAAACAATTCATGGAAACCAATGAGAACGAAAACACATCAGTCCAAAACCTGTGGGATACTGCAAAGGCGGTCCTGAGGGAGAAATACATAGCCATCCAAGTCTCACTCAAAAAATTAAAAAAATCCCGAATTCACCAACTAACTCTACACCTTAAAGAACTAGAGAAAAAGCAACAAACGATGCCTAAGGCATGAATTAAAAATAATTAAGATTAGAGCAGAGATCAATGAATTAGAAACCAGAAACACAGTAGATCAGATCAACGAGACTAGAAGCTGGTTCTTTGAAAGAATTAATAAGATTGATAAACCACTGGCCAAACTTATCCAAAACAAGAGAGAAAGGACCCAAATTAATAAAATTGTGAATGAAAGGGGAGAGATCATGACTAACACCAAGGAAATAGAAACAACTATTAGAAATTATTATCAACAACTATATGCCAATAAACTGAGCAAGCTGGATGAAATGGAGGCCTTCCTGGAAACCTCTAAGCTGCCAAGACTGAAACAGGAAGAAATTGACAACCTCAATAGGCCAATAACCAGTAATGAGATTGAAGCAGTGATCAAAACCCTCCCAAAAAAACAAGAGTCCAGGGCCTGATGGATTCCCTGGGGAATTCTACCAAACATTCAATGAAGAAATAATACCTATTCTCCTGAAGCTGTTTCAAAAAACAGAAACACAAGGAAAGCTTCCAGACTCATTCTATGAGGCCAGCATTACCTTAATCCCCAAACCAGGCAAAGACCCCAGAAAAGGAGAATTTCAAACCGATATCCCTGATGAATATGGATTCCAAAATCCTCAACAAAATCCTAGCTGATAGGATCCAACAATACATTAAAAGAATCATCCCCCACGACCAAATGGGATTTATCCCCAGGATGCAAGGGTGGTTCAACATTAGCAAATCAATCAATGTGATAGAACACATTAATAAGAGGAGAGAGAAGAACCATATGGTCCTCTCAATTGATGCAGAAAAAGCATTTGACAAAATACAACATCCCTTCCTGATTAAAACTCTTCAGAGTATAAGGACAGAAGGAACATTCCTCAAGTTCATAAAATCCATCTATGAAAAACCCACAGCAAATATCATCCTCAATGGGGAAAAGCTGAGAACCTTTCCCTTAAGATCAGGAACACGTCAAGGATGCCCACTCTCGCCACTACTGTTCAACATAGTACTAGAAGTCCTAGCAACAGCAATCAGACAACAAAAAGAAATAAAAGGTATTCAAATTGGCAAAGAAGAAGTCAAACTCTCTCTTTTCTCAGATGACATGATACTTTATGTGGAAAACCCAAAAGACTCCACCCTTAAATTACTAGAACTCACAGCAATTCAGTAATGTGGCAGGATACAAAATCAATGCACAGAAATCAGTTGCTTTCTTATATACTAACAATGCAACTGTAGAAAGAGAAATCAGAGAAATGATTCCATTTACAATAGCACCAAAAACTATAAGATACCTCGGAATAAACCTAACCAAAGAGGTAAAGGATCTATACTCTAGGAACTACAGAACAGTCATGAAAGAAATTGAAGAAGACACAAAAATGGAAAAACATTCCATGCTCATGGATCGGAAGAATAAACATTGTTCAAACGTCTATGCTACCCAGAGCAATCTATACCTTCAATGCCATCCCGAACAAAATTCCAATGACATTTTCCAAAGCACTAGAACAAACAAACCTAAAATCTGCATGGAATCAGAAAAGACCCCGAATCGCCAAGGAAATGTTGAAAAAGAAAAACAAAGCTGGGGGCTTCACATTGCCCGATTTCAAGCTATATTCAAAGCGGTGATCACCAAGACAGCGTGGTACTGGCACAAAAACAGACATATAGACCAATGGAAAAGAATAGAGAGCCCAGATATGGACCCTCAACTCTATGGTCAAATAATCTTCGACAGAGCAGGAAAAAATATGCAATGGAAAAAAGCCAATCTCTTCAATAAATGGTGCTGGGAAAATTGGACAGGCACATGCAGAAAAATGAAACTGGACCATTCTCTAACACCATACACAAAGATAAACTCAAAATGGATGAAAGACCTCAATGTGAGACAGGAATCCATCAAAATCCTAGAAGAGAACATAGGCAGTAACCTCTTTGACATTGGCCACAGCAACTTTTTTCAAGATACATCTCCAAAGGCAAGTGAAACAAAAGCAAAAATGAACTTTTGGGACTTCATCAAGATAAAAAGCTTCTGCACTGCAAAGGAAACAGTCAACAAAACAAAGAGGCAACCCACAGAATGGGAGAAGATATTTGCAAATGACACTACCGATAAAGGGCTCTTATCCAAGATCTATAAAGAACTTCTCAAACTCAACACCCAAAAAACAAATAATCAAGTCAAAAAATGGGCAGAAGACATGAACAGACAATTCTCCAAAGAAGACATACAAATGGCTAACAGACACATGAAAAAATGTTCATCATCATTAGCCATCAGGGAAATTCAAATCAAAACCACATTGAGATACCACCTTACACCAGTTAGAATGGCAAAAATTGACAAGGCAAGAGCTGGAGAGGTTGTGGAGAAAGGGGAACCCTCTTACACTGTTGGTGGGAATGCAAGCTGGTGCAGCCACTTTGGAAAACAGTGTGGAGGTGCCTCAAAAAATTAAAAATAGAGCTACCCTATGACCCAGGAACTGTACAGTTATTTACCTAAAAGACACAGATGTAGTGAAAAGAAGGGCCATATGCACCCCAATGTTCATAGCAGCAATGTCTGCAATAGCCAAACTGTGGAAGGAGCCAAGATGCCCTTCAACAGATGAATTGATAAAGATAATGTGGTCCATATATACAATGGAATATTACTCAGCCATCAGAAAGGATGACTACCCAAATTTTACATCAATATGGATGGGACTGGAGGAGATTATGCTACGTGAAATAAGTCAAGCAGAGAAAGTCAATTATCATATGGTTTCACTTATTTGTGGAACATAAAGAATAGCATGGAGGACATTAGGAGAAGGAAGGGAAAAATGAAGGGGGGGGAATCGGAGGGGGAGATGAACCATGAGAGACTATGGACTCTGAGAAACAAACTGAGGATTTTAGAGAGGGGAGTGGGGGATGGGTTAGCCCGGTGATGGGTATTAAGGAGGGCACGTACCGCATGGAGCACAGGGTGTTATACGAAAACAAGGGATCGTGGATCACCACATCAAAAACTAATGATGTATTGTATAGTGACTAACATAACATAATAAAATAAAATTTTAAAAAAAGATCATATGGTATGTCTATGGTTATTTTTTTGCTTTCATCTCCCAAAAAAGATATGCATATGTAAAATTAAAGTTTTCATTTGTTCCATAACATTTCATGCAAAAAGACAAAGCACCTGGTTGCTTTTTTCTGCTTGGTTATTCCTGTTGGAATCTGGAAAGTGGATGTGGCATCCTGTTTCTTCCATCACTTTTTTAATATTGTTGCCACCTTTGCCGATTACATGGGAATGTTCTGTATGTGAAACATCCATCTTCAAGGTGACTCGATTGCTCTATATGAAAATAATGTATTAATTCTTGATGCATGATAAAGGAAGGAACAACTCTTTAAAACACTTTTTCTCCAAGGGAACAGCACTAACAAAAAGTGACCCTGTGGGAAATCTTACAGATTTCTTGGTAATATCATCTTAATCTATAAATGTATACTTTCTATTTCTCTTTGGCTATAAAAAATAAATTCTCACTTTAAGACAAATTTGTCAGAAGAAACAGAAAGATACACTCTTTACCAAGATAACTTTTTGGAAAGCAGCATTTAAATAAAGTCAGGCATTAATTACAAATAAATTACTCAGTTTTTTCTTTAACAGACATTATTCATGAAACATTTAATTCAAATAACTAAAAACAGATGAAAATAATTACAAAATTGAATATATGTAGGTTAGTAGGAGTGTTGAACTGTGACAGAGATAAAACTCAAAACTGAATAAGAAAGTATCTGTAAGCATTATTTTCACAACTTGTCTATTACTGTAGGTCAAACTTTACAGAGCAGACCTGTTATTCTCAGTGATAGGAAGAATGAGGAAGGGCTAAGAAAGCACAGAGCTCCAGCAGTAACATGGCTTACTTAAACCGATACAAAGTGTAATATTAGGTATAATAAAGCAAAATGTAAAATTCTAAGACATAATGAATAATTGTGATCACATTAGAATCTGTGTACTTAATTTTGGGAAATTCAGTATTTAAATCTTTTCTCATTTGTAAGACTGATATAAAAATTCTTCAGCCCTCCGAAAGTAAAATTAAAAAGTCAAAATACAACAAGATGTTAAAAATATCAATGGTTTTTACATAGTCTTAATTCTTAAATTTTAAACATATCCATTAAATACTTTGATTTTTAAATTTAGTTCTTTTAGTTTAACATTTGAAGTACAGGAAAAAGATAATTCTTTTTGGGAAAAGATTCTAGAATATTTAATAACTGTAAGGTGAATAATTCTTAAAAATAAAAAAGAACAAGAAAAGAAAAAAAAGAAGGAAGAGATTAGAAACAATTTCAGTGAAATACCAGGTGGCAACACATAGTGGTTAAGAACCAGACAGTCTGGATTTATATCCCACCTTTTCGTTTATTAGCTATTGGATTCTGGGCGAATTCCCTAGTATCTCTGTGCTGAGTTGGTTATGAACATTAAACAAATTTGTAAGATGCTTATTAGCAAAGTGCCTGCCATATCATATGTGATTTAGAAGTGTTTACTAGAATAAATTCTCACAAATGAGTATACATTTTTACACATCTAAATTTCCCTATTATCTCTCTAACCTATACCTGCAGAGAGAGAGAGAACTTACAAGAGAAAGGTGTCAAGTTTCATGCCATCACACACAACTATATAGAAGATCATTCTGGCATCATAAAGGCAAATATGCTAATTATTCCAAACTTCATCACTTGCTCTATACTAATCAGTGTCAATGTCTCTTTCTGAAGATGGCATATACATACAAACACATACATATGTACTTATATGTACATACACACGTGTGCGTGTATGTATATATAATAATACTCATTTACCCAGCTTGAGAACCTATTCAAATTTTAAACAGAATGCTACATCCATTGCAGAATCACACATACTTATTTTAAAACCCACCATTACTTTCTCTTGGTTTTTCTTCTCCAAATGGTTCTTTTCATAACAGCATGAAGTAGCCCTTGCAGAGACAAGGTTCTGACATCTGAGTGTCCTTAACATTCACTTACTTTTGTGTCTAAGACAGACATGATCATTTCCTTGGCCTCCTTAACATCTTCTTTCTTTCCAGAAACCTTAATATGGGGATCTATAAGAAATAAAAAACAAAGGACTCATATGAAACCCCAAACTCTTTGTTTTAAAATTGATGCTACAATATAAGAAAAGAGATTCCTTAAGAAATTCAATATTTGATTCATTCTAGGTGTGTTAACATTGTAATTAAAACAGGAATGTGGAAAATTGTACAAGTTGTACATTTTTCTGTGTGGCCTTTTCCCTTCTGAAAGCTTGTTAAACCATTTAACTGCAAAATAAGATTATCATATAATTATATTTTAAACAAGTGAAGAATCTATAAATTCAATTTATTACTTACTACATTCTTGCTACATTCCAAGCCCTGATTTAAGGCTTTAAATGAATTAACTCATTTAATCTACCCCACAGCTTTGCAAGGTTGTTTCCAGAGGAAATTAAGGCACAGAGCAGTTTAGTAACTTGCCCTAGAAAACCACTCAGAGGCTCATTCATTATAATCAATGTCTTCCAACTCTGGATCCACACTTTCAAACCATGTGATAACCTAATTCAGAAGGTATCTTTACACGTCAAGATTAACAGAATAAAACATTATCTTCATCAGGAATATTTAATATTTATTCAGAATTAGTGTTAAATGACTAATATATGTAGTACTACATATATTATTGATTACTGGCACAGAATGTTATAAAGGAAAACATTCATTCATTCATTCATTCACAGCAAGTATTTTCTGAACCTTACTATGTACCAGGCACTATTCTAGGGGCTGGAGTTTGTATCAGTAAAGAAAAAGACCTTGTCCACATGGAGCTTACAGTCTTATACAGGGAGACAAAAATGAATCAAATAAACAAATTATCATTTAATGTACTAGAACATAACTTATGAAAAGGAGAACAAGACAAAAGGATGAAGAGTACCAGCTGTGGGGAGGGGGTCAGGGCATTAGGCCTCATTGAGAAAGTGAGGTCTGAGTAAAAGCTTAAAGGAGGTGAGGCAGTTCGTGAAGCTGGAATCCTCACAAGGAGGGAAACATCACAGCTAAAACTCCAGACGAGGATGTGTCTCTTCAGGTCTCTCTTTTGTCAGGTTTCCAAGTCTCCACTGCAACAGGGTGTTCTATTACCCCATGGGTCGGCCTGACAGAGACCAAGACCATTTGGGGTAAGCCAGAAGTTCTACACCATTAGCCTTGGTGATAAAGTGTTATCACTAAAGTGATAAATAACAGAGAGAGCATCATCATCACCATCACTAGTGATGTCAACCTTACTGACTGCCTACAACACACCACCTTCTCTGCTGAGTCCTTCCTACACTGAACTACACTTCAGATTAGCAACAGGGTCAGGAAATGTTTGCTGAGCATTTTTTACAATTAACAAGCAGTTCCAACTGAGTCCTTCCAAACCATCAATTCTCTAGAATAAGAAAAGAGAATTACCTGGTGGGAATTTTATCACATTACACATACTTCCCTGATATTGTGACTTACCTATCCCCATGCAACAGTCCATTTGAAACTCAATGCCATGAAGACCGTGTCATATTCATAAGGTAAAAATGAGCAACTAAATAGAGAAAGGAAGGAAGGGAGGAAAGAAGGGAAGGAGGGAGGGAGGGAGGAAACCCTGTCCTAAAGCTACAGGCTCTTAAGACCAGGACAGAGCAATCATGGTCAACAACAGTGCACCACCAAGCTTCAGAGCTCAGGAATGCATCTGGCCTCCTGAAGCCTCCCAGCAAGCTGTGCTTAATTTGAGTCAGTGCTGTCACCTCCAGCCACCGCCCCCCACCACCCCCGCCCTCTCTGCAGACTGTCTCCCAGGAGCTGCCCTTGGCCTTAGACTCTTCTCCTTACCCTGTTCTTTAATCCTTCCTCTGATGCTTGCCATGTCACAGGGACACTGTGAAGATGAAAGATCTTAAGACTGGTTTAAACCTTCTAAAATGTTGAAGTGTCAGGTTAATACCTGACGGGTGATGGGCTTAAAAGTAGGGTAAAAGGGATGTCAAACAACCTCAAGTCAGTATGGCATCGTGTTCACATTGCTTACTCCTTAGTGCATCCTAACATGAACCTCTTTTCTTCTCTAAGATTCTCACCAACTTTAACATACTTATGTAAACAAAGCATTTTCTTCAATAATTCTTATTGTATCCATTATAACTCCTCTAGGCAATATTTACATTACGAGCTATCTACATTCAAAGTTTTGATCCCAGCTATCTTTGACTTCGGTTTCAATTACTGTTGGCTGATCCTGATGTTAATCTCCACTGAAAATGCTTACTACTGGGGGATTAGAACCTGGCACTTCTCAAAACATACCTGATCACACTCAATTGTAGCACTTGCTAAAATATACGTTCCTGGTCTCCAGGATCCAGTAATTGTTATTTTGTTTGTTTCCCAAGTCATTTTTCAATCACGTATAGGACAGAATAGGTGAAACCACATAAAAAATTTAATTGTAGTGTCTTATGTATCAGCCAAGTATATATAACACAAAATGGTTCTACAGGGGAAAAATGTATTTTCTTACAAAATAAATTAACAGTTAAGTATTGAGTGGTATGCTAATCTGAAAACCTATTACTTGTACAGGTTGGATAATCACATTAAAATTCCTATGCACCTGTAGAGGGACAGGAAGCCTCAGATCCAATTTATGAAAGAATTTGATTTTCTACCATCTCTGTATCAATAGAACAATAAAATAAAAAGCAAAAGCCTCAATGGAAAATACATTTTATTTCAAAGTGAAAGAGTGCCATCTAGTGACCTAAAAATATAAATTATCAATGGACCTAGAGATAACACAACACACAGTCACCAACATGTAACATCAAGAAAGTCTCCAGGACCCAAATCAGCACTTGTTTGGAAAACGGTTCTTTAAATAATCAAGTCTCATAAGTACAGAGAAAAACAATCACGACAATATTCTGGTTTAGATTGCTAATGTGGCCAATAATAGTGTCTTCCTCATTCCTTCCTTTGCCCTTGCTTAAAAGATACCTACAGGATGTGAGCCCTTATTCCAGGCTGAACTTAATGTGTTTATTTCAAACCCTGAAATTCAGTTCTTTATATTCAATGAATGTTATATTTCACAATTTAAACGTATCCATGCAAGGGGCTGAGGCTTTACTTAGGATTGGCTATATTAATAAACATAATAGGGCCAGCTATGAAGGTGGCTGGAAGAAGACAGAGTAATAAGGAGTAAGTGTATAGTCTTCCTCTGCCTCAAAATAACTGCTTTGAGGGACAACTCCAATTTGGGCATGAAAGTTTTGAGATATTTGCTCTAAAAATAATATCCACTGCTTTATAATCAACCCTCAAGCTCTCTAAATACAAGGATTGTCTTAATTGGTTTTAAAACTTCACAGTGCCAGACAAGTAGTAGATACTCATTAAACAGTAGGTGAATGGGCTGAAGGTGCCCCTATTTTTGGAAATGGCTACAGAGAAGGAGGAGATGGAAATTCATGGGAAGAGCCTAAACTTCATATCTAAGGTGGATCATACGTCCTGCACTTCCCAGAACAGTTTTGACTTCAAATATTTTTAACTCAGTACCTCTATAATAATCCAGATTTTTGGTTTTTAGAGTCCTGCCCTATCAATCTGTTCACATCTCTGTAGTGTAATCCTATGGAAGAGAGGAAAACCAGATGGTGATCCAACCTTCAATTAGTTATTATGAAGCTGTATGGACATAGGTAAGAAATGGGTATTTTATATGTGTATACTGCAAAAGAGCTAAACCTTTAAGCAAAAAAGGTTTTTATGACTTCCATATGGAAATTCATAAGGAGTTGATAAGGCAACAATTGTTTTTATAAGAATACAGACTAAAAACCATATTTTCAGTAAAGATATATATTTAAAAGAGTTGGTATGTTTATATGAACTTAAGTGAAGTTTAGTTATGGTTTTAAAAGATTATCTCTTGGTAGTACTCTCTGGTTTCCCATCCTTGGAAACATTCCCATTCCTGGAACCATTAGTAAAAATTTTTATTGCCTTTTCCTTCTCTCCTCAACCTTAGACCTCCTTTCCATTTCATTCCTATCCCAGAGCAAAATCTATAGGAAAGACTTATGTCAGCCCTTTTCATTGTATTTTTTATGCTATAGAAAGTAATGGGTTATTGACATATGATGAATTTAAGCCATCACTGTTTCCCCAATGATCTGTTGACAGCTACTTTCCTGTCTCCATGACTGAGTGCTGCTGCGAAAAGATTCAACACCAAAAAATCAAAGCAATGCTTTCATTCTCAGCAGGTTCTCTTGGAAAGAGAAAACAAGAGAAAATCCCTTGTTTAACTAACCTGATTCCTCCCACCCACAACACCCAAAATAAAAGACATAATATTAGAGTTGCACTTTTGTTTAAGGGGAAAAGTTCCATATCATGGCCTGAAATCAAGATGGCTTTGGTACATTTTATGAATCTATATAAAACTGTCAAACTGGCCTCAAATCCATAAGAAGAGAGCAGTGGACAGAATTCACTTTCTTTTGGCTTGGAGCTCTCTTCACTTTTATTTCAAGTTCTTCCCAAAAAGTCCCTTGAAAACCATCTAAGAAGAAGGACATTGGCTGGGGCTGGGTCCATCAACACTGTTAGAAGTGGTCAGGGTTGACAGGCAGAGAGGCATCTCTAACTTCCTCTGAAATTCAACCTACAACCACTGGGAATATATCCATAGCTAGCAAGTAGTTAGTTCCAAAGTAGTAATGGGCAATTTTTTTTTTTTTTTTTAATAAGGAAGACTGGCTGTAGGGTAAGGATTTTACCAAACAGACAATATAAACCAAGACTCAGAAAAAGCCCTGGACATCTCACGGGTACCGGCTGATTTGGATCATATAAGGAAATGCTATGGAAAGCCAGCAGATATCACATGGAATATATTAAAAGTTTTAATGACTGACTCTGCAATAGATTCCTTTCACATCGTGGGGAAAATATATAGACTCCACAATTATGATAAGTTCTGAATCATAAGTAAGTCATAAACA